CTGCTTTTTGATCAAAATATTTATGAGATAAACAAAAGTAGTTGCAAAAAGGAGAGAGAGGAGAGGAGAGGAGAGGAGTGAGAGGAGGAGAGGAGAGGAGCCAAGGACGTAAAGAGGCAACGACGCAAAAGGAGAGAGAGGAGAGGAGAGGAGAGGAGAGGAGGAGAGGAGTGAGAGGAGGAGAGGAGAGGAAGGAGGAGGAGAGGAGTGAGAGGAGGAGAGGAGAGGAGAGGAGGAGAGGAGAGAGGAGAGGAGAGGAGGAGAGGAGGGAGAGAAAGAGAGGAGTGAGAGGAGAGGAGAGGGAGGGAGAGGAGAGGAGGAGAGAGGAAAGAAAAGAGGAGGAGAGGAGGAGAGGAGGAGAGAGGAGAGAGGAGAGGGAGGAGGAGGAGAGGAAGAGGAGAGAGGAGAGGAGAGAAGAGGAGAGGAGAGGAGAGAGAGAGGAGAGGAGGAGAGGAGGAGGAGAGAGGAGAGGAGAGAGAGGAGAGAGAGGAGAGGAGAGGAGAGAGAGGAGAGGAGAGAGAGGAGAGGAGAGGAGAGGAGGAGAGGAGAGGAGTGAGAGGAGGAGAGAGAAGGAGGAAGGAGAGGAGAGGAGAGGAGGGAGAGGAGGAGAAAGAGAGGAGGAGAGGAGAGGAGAGGAAGGAGAGGAGAGAGAGGAGAGAGGAAAGGAGAGGAGGAGAGGAGAGAGAGGAGAGGAGAGAGAGAGAGGAGAGAGGAGAGCAGGAGAGAGGAGAGAGGAGAGGGAAGAGGAGAGGAGAGGAGAGAGAGGAGAGGAGGAGAGAGAGAGGAGGGAAGAGGAAGAGGAGAGAGGAGAGAGGAGAGGAGAGAGAGGAGAGAGGAGGAGAGGAGGAGGAGGGAGAGAGGAGGAGAGGAGAGGAGGGAGAGAGAGGAAGGAGAGGAGGAGAGGAGAGAGGAGAGAGGGGAGAGGAAGAGAGGAGAGGAGAGGAGAGGAGAGAGAGGAGAGGAGAGAGAGGAGAGGAGAGAGAGGAGAGGAGAGAGAGAGAGGAAGAGAGGAAGAGGGAGAGAGAGGAAGGAGAGAGAGAGAGGAGGAGAGGAGAGAGAGAGAGAGAGGAGAGGAAGAGGGAGAGAGAGGAGAGGAGGAGAGGAGGAGAGGAGAGGAGGAGAGGAGAGAGAGAGGAAGGAGAGGAGGAGAGGAGAGAGAGGAGAGAGGAGAGGAGGGAGGAGAGGAGAGAGGAGGAAGAGGAGAGGAGGAGAGGAGAGGAGAGGAGGAGAGGAGGAGAGGAGAGGAGGAGAGGAGGAGAGGAGGAGAGGAGAGGAGGAGAGGAGAGGGAGGAAGGAGAGGAGGAGAGGGAGGAGGAGAGGAGGAGAGGAGAGGAGGAGAAGAGAGGAAAGGAGAGGGAGGAGGGAGAGAGAAGGAGAGGAGAGGAGAGAGAGGAGGAGGGAGAGAGAGGAGAGGAGAGGGAAGAGAGGAGGAGAGGAAGGAGAGGAGGAAGGGAGGAGAGGAGAGAGGAGAGGAGAGGAGAGGAGAGGAAGAGGAGAGGAGAGGAGGAGAGGAGGAGAGGAAGAGGAAGGAGGAGGGAGGAGAGGAGAGAGAGGAAGGAAGGAGAGGAGAAGAGAGGAAAGGAAGAGGAGGAGAGGAGAGGAGGAGAGGAGAGAGAGGAGGAGAGGAGGGAGGAGAGGAGGAGAGGAGAGGAGAGAGAGGAGAGGAGGAGAGGAGAAGAAGAGGAAAGGAGAGGAGGAAGAGGAAGAGAGAGGAGAGGAGAGAGAGAGAGAGAGAGACGGAAGGGAAATAGAGGGGAGAGGAAGGAGAGGAGGAGAGGGAGAGGAGGAGAGGAGTGAGAGGAGATGAAGGGAGAGGAGAGGAAGGGAGGAGAGGAGAAGGAGTAGGAGGAGAGGTAGAGGAGAGGAGGAGAGGAGGAGAGGAGGAGAGGAGAGGAGGAGGAGAGGAGAGGAGCTCACCTTGACATCAGCCTTCTTGTTGAGGAGACTCTTGGCTGCTGCAGAGAGGCAGAACGACACACCCTCAGATGGAAGAGTACACATCATACACCTTCAGATGACCACGGCTCACACACATGCAGTGATGATGATGATGATGAAGATGCATGCAGCGGCTTAGGGGAAAAAAATTAAAATTAAAAAAACTTCACCTGCTCATCTAAGGAAATGACCAAGCAGACCAAAAACAGAGTGATAATGTTTATCTCTCCACATTTCCTCCCCTTAAGAGACGGGAAAAAAAGAATTCATCCCTCCCTCTAAAGAAAAAAATAAAACCCTCCCTCCCTCCCTCCCTCCGTCCGTCCTGTGAAAAGACATTAAAACCCCCCAACGAATAAACACACACATTAAAAAATCTCCATCCAACTGGCACCTCCTCACCCTGATCCATCGCCCAAAGCATTAGATAAGCAGAGGGCATGAGGAGGGGAAAAAAGTCTAACTGATTCTCCATATAATCCAAACACACTCTCACACACACACACACTCACACACACACAGGCACAGATCGAGGAGGGAGGGGGGTGAGCGTGGTGGTGGTGGGGGGGATTAGGAGTGAAAGCATGAGGGAAGTGGGATGGAGATGCAGGTGTGTGATAATGGGTTTGTTAATCTCAACAGCAGGCGGGATTAGAGGGAATCACTGCAGAGTTCACTGATGGACAGGAAGTGAACACAACACAACACTGTGGCGCAGCAGGACGAGAGGGTAAACAAACATCCAGAGGCCCCACAGTGTGTGTGTGTGTGTGTGTGTGTGTGTGTGTGTGTGTGTGTGTGTGTGTTTATATTATATTTTAAAAAGCATGTCTGACATGGAAACAACTGCACACACACAGTTTGTGTCCTAATTCCCTGCAGGGCAGAGAAACCCTAACCCATGACAACTGAACAGTAATACCCCCCCCCCGGCGGAGATGAGGCTGCTTACCTTGGCAAACGTTTGAGAAGCATTAGAGGATGGGGAGGAGGGAAAAAAAAAAAAAGATTTGGGAAGAGAGATTAAAACGAGCTGAGGGATGGAGGGAGTGTGTGATGCTGTGACTCTGTTTTTAATCACGTCTGCCACGAGTTCAGAGAGGAGACCATGTGGAGTCTGAAGAGAGAGAGAGAGAGAGAGAGAGAGAGAGAGAGGGAGGAGCAGAGGGGAGAGGTTCAGGTGACGAGTTTACCTTGTTCCACGATGCCAGCGGTGGTTCCTGCCACGGCGCTGACGGAGGCGGGGGCTGTAGTCTGCCGACCCACTGAAACACACAGAGGACGGAGCACTTTTTGTTTAAAGGATCAGACGGATGACAGAAAAAAACAAAACTACAAACTGGTTCAGTGTGGTGGATGTTAGAATAATGTCACACTGGGCTTTAAGTGTGCGAGCGGCGCCAGCAACGACCTCCAACACTGAAGAACCAGAAGCTGCAGTTCCTCTAATGGCCACTAGAGTCTGGCTCCAACAGTGAGTCAGTCCCCACAGACTCCCATGTTAAAATGTCCAACTTTACAGCAGAAATCAACATGTTTACAGCCTGGTACCAACTGTTTATAAACAAACAACTGTTTCTATAACTCACCTGTACATTTTGTTAAGGACTAAAGTTATGGAGAATTGAGGGCGTGGCCTCTTTGAGTGACAGGTGGGTGAGCGGATGTCACAGCTCCACACCTGCTCCACCTCTTTGACCATTTTTAGATTAGCCGGGAGTTAGGAGGCGGAGTCAGACACTTTTACTTCTGGTTATTTATTCTATCTCTATTTTACTTTTATTTGTTTATTTATTATTCACTTCCAAACATCCTTTAGCATTTTATTATTTTATCTTCAATATTCTGTCTTCATTTTTATTAGATTTTTAATATCCTACCTCTTATTTCTTACTCACTTTAATAAATCTCCTGTTTTAGCATTTTATTGTTTTATCTTTGTCTTTGCTCTCCAGTCTTCCGTGTATCCTCAGTTCCTGTTATTGTCTTATTTCTATTGTTTTTATTTATTACTTTTATTGTTGTGTGTGTGTGTGTGTGTGTGTGTGTGTGAGGAGGTTGTTTTATTATTTCTTTTATTCTGTAAAGTCCTTTTTGCTGCATCGTTTGTATGAAGACTGGTAAATAAATAAAGTCTGATTGATTAATTAATTGATTGATTGATTGATTGATTGATTGATTGACTGAGGAGGTGAAGAGGATCACCCTGACTGAAACCGACGGCCCTGTGGGAGGACGGGGGCTCGGAGAGGAGGGTCACCCAGCACCAGGACCTGGTCCAGGTCTGGTGCAGCCTCTGTGGAAGACGCTCACAGGTCTGGGAACAGCAGGAAGAGGAAGACAGCTGTTTGCAGGTTGGGGGAGGCGGCGGAAAGAGCCAGCTGATGGACAGTGAGTGACATCACTGCCGACCCACCAACTACAGGACGTCGAGGTTCAGGGTCGAAGCGTTGGAGGGAAACCTGAACGCCACCCGACGACATCGTGCCTGAAGGGTACGGGTTAGATCTAGACTATCTAGAAATGATCTGTGAACTGGGTTCTGTTTATTTTGAGTTTGCATGTTTTATGACTGACCAGGTGTTAGTCTGTTTCCGTGGCTCGGTCTATCACCAGTAACAGACTCGAACATGTCACAGAGTCTGAGACCGAGGCTGCGGAGGCACCAAACACCACATGAGATATCTCTGCTGTGTTTCCTGCTTTCTCTCACACTGCCGCCCATCAACAGGCTGTGTGTGTGTGTGTGTGTGTGTGTGTGTGTGTGTGAAGAGATGGCAGAAGACAGATGGGATGTCATCCTGTCCTCCCCTCCTCTCTCCGGCTCAGGGCGCTGACATGTTCCCTCTCTCTCTCTCTCTCGTCTTCTCAACAGGCAGAACTCACCAGAGAAGTTCCTGGAGACGAGCATGGTGGTCAAAATGGCGCCCTGCGGAGGGAGAGGAGAAGACACCACGTTCAACCTTTAACATTAACCTGATGGCAGTGTGACACGTCAGTCTGAATTAAACGGCGTCACAGAGCAGAGAGACTGGAGGGAATAGAAATGGAGGAAATAAAATCACTTTATTTCAGCGGGAAACGCTGAGAAAGAGACGATGTCTTCTCAGATCAGATCAGTCTGTAATAATTATTTCTCCCCTCGTGGTGTGACCGGAGCAGAACCCACATTAACAACCAGACCACCACACGGATATCTAGTTTTACAGACAGGAATTAAACGTCCCGTCACTCAGAGCGTCTGCAGTGTCAGATAATTGAAAACAGGCAGCAGATTTCGCTCCTGAACGACATTAAATGGTGAAATTGATGTGAAAATTTATCGGTGGATTCACTCCCGACCCGAGTCGGGGAAGAACTAGTTACACGTAACTGGATTATAGAATTAAATTACCAAATAAATGTAAGTTACTGAGAAAAATGGAATGAAATCAGCATCGTTACATAATCCACACCTGAAAAGAAGAGAGGATCTGAGCTGAATATAAATCATATGGATGGATTCATGTGAATAAATCAAGCAGATCAGAGGAAGATGCTGATCCTGTATCAGAGGTATAAAGACACTTTATCTCCGCCCCTTCACGCTCTTTCACACCTTGAGTTTCCTCCTGGCGTTGAACTTCTTCAGGCACTCGACCGTCTCCTGTCTGTGCATCATGGAGGCCACTGTCGAGCGTTGCTGCAGGGAGACACAGAGAGAGAGAGAGAGAGAGAGAGAGACGCTGAAAATAAAACCTGAGAGCAGCAGCTCTGACAGTGACGGGTTTATGTGGGCAGGAGCTGTCGGAGAGACGCTCGGCGCCGGGACACGCTGCTTCTGAGGATCTTTAGGGTGATGACATTTCTGGCAAAAAAGGACAGATCCAGGTTGTCTTCATAGTTTCCTGACAAACATCAGCCCTCCACACTCTCACTCTGCCTCATAATAACATATATATGATGCGACATGTGAAGCGGAGAGCGGTCGACCCTTTACTGAAGCTAAAGCAGCAACACTGTCGTTTCTGATGAGGAGAAATGAATTAATGAAGCAGAGAACTAAAGTGTTTTCTGTCGGGGCGCCACTGTTTTCAAATGAGACTCTGAGAACTGCAAACTCACTTCTATCATGAGGGTTTTACTGATTGATTATTATTAGTTTGTGTATTTCTATCTTTTATATCTGCCGTGTAAAGCACTTAGTAACGGCTCATCTTGAAAAGCTCTATCTCATTAAACTCTGTCATTATTATTTTAAAAGTAAAAGTAAATGTAGGAGTCATAATTAATAAAAACTATATTAAATCATGGATTATATTTTCCTTGATGGATTCCTGTGAGTTACAGTTCGTTGAGGTGGAGCTCGTTTTATATTGTAACAGTGCGTCTTATCTTATGAGCTGATCATATGTTTTGTATTAAATGTGTAAAGTACCTAAAGGTGTAAAAAGGATGCTGTAAATGTACCTTTATTATGTTTAAACTTTACATAATATACATAAAATATTCATAATATATACATATTGAGTATGTAAAAGTGTTTTGAGCATCATGTTCAGCACCACAGACAGACGGTGCTAAGAAGCTGTTAATATGTACATGCACGAGGAAACACGTAGAAATTTAAGACCCTTCAAAGAATCGACGTCTGCAGCTAATAAAACGTCAGAAACAGAAGGGCCGTTATAATATCCTGCAGCCTGAGATGATGTCACCTGACTCACAATCCAAAACCAATAGACTTCAGCTTATAACAGTAAATCTTAAGCTGCAAGAGGTGGAAGCTCGTCACATGTTAATATATATCTCTCTATATATATAGAGAGAGATATATATTAACCTTTTTATGCCTTTATGTGACAGGACAGTGAAGCCAAGAGTTGCTGCCCGGGGACTTGCTACCTGGAAACAGGATGTTAGATAAAGTTTGAAGCTACATGAATAAAGTTATTATTCATTATAAATGTCAGTAAAAAGTTTTTTTCCAATCAACCTTCAGATAAAGTCAAACGTCTTCACTGCAGGAATCAGAGAGTCTGATATCCTGGTACTTTAGCTGCTGATGAGCAGGCAGATGATTTGATCCCTGAGATAAGTTTCTCCTCTGTGGGACGAATCGTTCGAGATGAACTGACCCAGAATCAGCAGATATCAGAGGTCGCATGTTTGGAAACAGATGGGGCTGATATCTCGGCAGCTCTGGACAGATGTTCACAAACTTGCTTTTGGGGGATTCACTAAACGACAGTTTCAAACAGAGGGCATGAGATGCAGTTCCCTGTCCACAGTGACGGGGTTTATGTACTTACGCAGACCCATGGGTGCTTCAGCGCCTCCTGGGCAGTGATCCTCTTGGCCGGGTTGATCGTCAGCATCTGGTTGATCAGATTTTTAGCCTCTGGAGTCACAGTGTCCCACTCTGGGGAGGGAAACTAAAGCACACACACACACATGTACGTCCACGTTTATATCATATCTAATGTCTGATTTAAAGAGAGTGAGGGGGGGACTCACGTCATACGCTCCAGCTTTGATCTGCTGGTAGAGTTTGTGCTGGTCCTCGTCCCAGAAGGGAGGGTACCCAACCAGAAGGATGTACAGGATCACACCTACACACAAAAACACACAACCTCTGTGTGAGCGACGAGAAGGAGAGCGAGGAGGCGGCGGAGAGGAATAAAACACACAGAGAGCTCACCACATGCCCAGATGTCTACGGGTTTACCGTACGCCTCCTTCCTCAGCACCTCTGGGGACAAGTAGCCGGGAGTCCCTGCAAAGCCTGCGCGCACACACACACACACACACATTAAAAAACACAGTTCAGGGTGCAGTTCCTTGTAAATAAGTGTGTTTTTGTCACGGCGCTCTGCAGCATGCCGCTGAGGAGCTGGACACTCTGTGGTCACGGCTCTGTCCTCAGATCTGTCAGAGCGGCTCGAGTCTCTGACTTTAAATGTTTTGACGGATGAACCAGAAATCAGACTTTCACTGTGTGACATCGCTCTGATGTCGAGGAGACCAGCTGAGAGGTGAGTCCTCTCATGCAGCTGCTTCATGTCAGTAACAGCTGTCACAGTTAAACTCACATCACTGATCAACTTCACAGTCCTGAATGGAGACCACCAGTATCTGGAGTCCGGAGCTCATGAGATTATACATATATATCTATATATAATTCAGGAAGGACAACAGCACAATGAAACCTGAATCTAAATGACATAAGTACAAAAGGCAAAGAAAAAAAAAAGGGACAATGTTAGAAGATAAATTCCTTTGGAAAAAAAAAACAATAAATAAATAAAATAAAAAAGCACAAGAGACAAAAATACAAAGTTCAGTCAGAGGTGATGGAGAACAAATGTCTTAACTTTCAGTTCTAGGAGATGAAGAATTTTGCATTTAGAATAATGAAGTTAAACAGATACTCAAGAGCGCCATCATTTGGATTATCATGGTGACAAATAAAATCTTTAAGGTTATAAAGCTCATTGTCACGCTCGAGGCTGCGAGAGCTGCAGCGCTCCAATAACACTTTTAATGAAGTAGGATTTTATGACATGTGATGATGTAGTTTTACATCGTGGTGTTGATTAAAGGTCTGAGTGTTTCTTCTCTGACAGAGAGAAATATAAAATATAAAATGCAGGTTTTGACAGGAGCGTGACTCTCTGGTGTTTTCCGTGTCGTAACATGTTGTATCGTCCCTGTCAGCGACGGAACAAAATGATCATGAATCACGTCTGAAATACAAGAAATAAAAACACTAAAAGATGAAAAAGAGCTCAGTTTACGTCTGAGTGTTTCCTGTGTGAGGAATACTTTTAAAGGATGTGGAGTTACTTCAGACACAGACTCAGAGTCACTGAGTCCATTATGAAAATGTAGTTTAATGTACAGTCAGAGCTTTTAGCTCGCTGCGCTGCGTCTGTAATGGATCTTCATTCTGGCTGCGAGTCAAGGGAAGTGTATAGAAGCACATTTACTGCAATCAGGTTCAATCAGGTTGAGTTTCCTGAAAATCCTGCAGAGATGACTTTTAGTTTTGTTTTCTCTTCCTTGTGTTTCTCTGTGTGTGTGTGTGTGTGTGTGTGTGTGTGTGTGTGTGTGTGTGTGTGTGTGTCTCCTGACTCATCTCCACACCTGCTGCTAATCACCTGATCAAGAAAACAACAAAAAGCAGGAAATCATAATCTGTGGTTTGTTATGGAGAGAGCAACGAGGAGGGAAAGAGTTTTTAGAGGCCGCATAATTTTTTTTATTCTTTTTCCTGTTTCACTCAATTTTCAAAGTAAAACGTCCTTGTAACGGTTGAATTCTTCCAAAAGAGAAACATTATCTGCTGAGGGTAAACGGAGCTGAGCGGTTCGATGCGGTTCCTTGGTCGGCCATATTGAAAAACGTCTTAATTTACCCAGAATTCATTGTACCACAATCTGGCTTCTCCTCTAGAGTGAGTTCTCTAGTGTTCAGTAGCTGTTTGACTGCCACGCCATCTCACCCCCCCCCCCCCCCCCCCCCCCCCCCCCCCCCCCCCCCCCCCCCCCCCCCCCCCCCCCCCCCCCCCCCCCCCCCCCCCCCCCCCCCCCCCCCCCCCCCCCCCCCCCCCCCCCCCCCCCCCCCCCCCCCCCCCCCCCCCTACAAGACACATCAACAGCCCGACTCCTTTTCTTCCACATTAAACCACTTTAAACACTAACTAAACCAAAAACCATCACAAAGGCACCTGAGCACACAGGAGTCACTCTGTTCTCAGTTTAATACGTCTAATTAGACCTCAGCTGAGACAAAAGAGTTTAACACTGGAATAAAATAAAAAACCAAATGTGGAAACTGAAAAAAGATCAAGACGAGTGTCCTCAGTCAGATGAGATTAGAGGAAGAGGAGGTAAAAATGTCTTCTCGTTTGCCAGACACGAGGACACGCCGACAGAAAGGATGAAAGGACAGTATGGATGAACAGTCCTGTGGAAGCTTATTCTCCATCAGAGGCTTTGCAGCCGTCAGTGTGTCGGCTCTGCTGCACATCAGAGCTGACAGGCAACACAACCCTCCATGATGAAGAGGAGGAGGAGGAGGAGGATGGAGACAGACTGGCAGATGTTACTGTAGATTTACTTTAAAATAACATAAAGGATTTCTTTAGCTTCTCTCAGGGGTGGGGGGGGGGGGGGGGGCTGCTAAACTGTGATTAATTAAAAATGAATCTTTAATTACAGCTTTTAGAAAAACAAAAAAAAGTTAGAGGATGAATGACACGAGTTTTAAGATGTTTTTTTCTTTGAGGGAAAAATGGTTGGCTGAGATTCTGGAGGTTTAGATCAGAGTCAGATGATATCGTTACTGTGCTGCACTCTCTGTAGATCTGTCCAACGCTTCTGATTCACCTCATCACAATAAGTCTGAAATATATATAAACACACACATCCTCAGTGTTTTGACCTTTCACTCTGTGAAAACTGTAATTATCGAAAAGAGGAGCCACCTAACCTCCATGTTATCCAGACTGATCTGTCTGTACGGGTGTAATATTTAAAGCTCCCCCAGTGTAAAGGTCTGTGTCCATGTGTAGTGTGATTATAGATCAGCTCTAGCTTCTATATTAATACTGTGAAAGTATCAAAGCCTCAGTCCACAGAGAAATGCACACAGCCTGTATTCAGAAACTGAGCCTTAAAACCAGCCGTCAGGACTTCTGGAACTTTGTGATGTCACAACAAAGCAGTCACCAAGCCCCGCCCACCTGGACCCACCATCCAAACCTTGCAGGATTTGGTTTCTCTGAGTGTTTTTACCTGAAATCTGCTTTATTTTTATTGGATCACTCAGAAAACAGTCAGCCAATCAGAAGAGAGGCTCAGAGCCTCCTCTCTTCCGATTGGCTCACCGACCTGTTGTTACTAGAGCTAATATTAGCCAAGTTAGCTAGCTGACCTGACAACCAGTTTCTATGGTAAACCTGCAGACTGTATTTTCACAGGCGTAAGGGTTTAGCTATCACTTGAGAATATATAAAGCTCGGCTACCTAACTAACTAACTAACTAACTAACTAACTAACTAACTAACTAACTAACTAACTAACTAACTAACTAACTAACTAACTAGCATGGGTGCACGGTGTGAATGTGTGTGTTGTGTGTGTACATACCAAACCAGGCCTGCTGGTCTCCTTGAACCTCAATAGCCAGTCCGAAGTCGGCCAGCTTCACGGCTGCGTTCTTACACTTGCTGGCCAGCAGCAGGTTCTCCGGCTGCACAACAACACAAACACCAAACACACGTCAACGCGTCTCCACCTCCTGAACCTGTAATGATGTTAACTTCCTGCCCGTGCCAGAGTAAAGCAACAAGCAGAAAGAGGCTGGTTTTATTTTGTAGTAGTTGGTGGGAACAGTTTGTGTTTATGCAGGAGCAGGTTTAAAACTGATGAATGTGAGGCCACAGGTTTAAAGGCTCATTTTTAAGAGGAGTAAAACTGTGGTAAAGTTCTGGGCAGTAATTAACTGAACATTATTAATGGTGGCTTGTGCCACCCCTGAACACCCCTCTGGCCCCGCCCCTGCATTCAGGAGAAAACCTTACACTCCCTGACTCATGGTTTTATACTCATGGTTTTGAGTTTACAAGAAAAACAGAAAGTGTGACAAATCACTGAGATACAACCAGTTAAACCCAGATCAGAAGACTAAGAATAGCAACACACACACACACACACACACTCATACATATTCTAATACACACACGCTCAGAGGCTGACACAAACAGATGGGACTTAAAATATGTGTATAAGCCTTTTTCTTGCCATTTGTTTACTTGAGGAAGACCAAACACACAGCTTGTCATTTTGCAACGGTCGAGTGTTTCCTGCTCAGACGCTGATGATGTAACAGCGATCTGACAAACATCTACAGACCACAGCACATACACCAACAACAGCGCCGCGCTGTAAAGTGATTGATTTGTGCCTTTAGCCGTTAATGGTTCCGGCACAGTGACATGAAAACAGCTGCGTGTGGTGATTCCAGCTGCAGGATAGAGAGTCATCATGTCACCCTCTGCTGGCTGAGATAAAAACTCAGAGGGAGGAGACTTGACTAATGAGCAGCAGCTGGAACAGATTCACTGAGCGGCCTGTTGAACCCCAGTGAAGGTCTGCTACATCCTGCCAGACGAGACTCTGGGTTTAAAGGAATATTTGACAATGTGGGAAATACGCTTTTTTGCTTTGCAGTGAGGAGTCAGGTGAGAAGATCAATATCGATCTCACATCTGAATTCTAAATGCAGAAGCTAGTTAGCAGGCAATTAGCTTAGCTTTGCACAAAGACTTGGAATGGAGGTGTTGGTCTGTCGGTCGACCACTTTTTATTTTATTTTAAATTTTATTCCACTTCATTCAAATTTTTCCTCGTAATTTGCAATATACAGATTATTAATTCAATTAAGTCAATAAAATCATGGGTTTATTAACGTGGCTTTAACTTCATTTCTCCATTTTCTGTACCGTAGGCTATTGATCATCATTATTAATAACTTGTTTAATGATGGAACTAATTATTAAGTCCGTTATCGTTTAATCTGTTGATTCATTTCTTAACTAATTACTTAATCAGTCATCTGTAAAAAGTCCGAAAAACATTGAAACTCTCTTTTAAAGTTTCCAAATCTGAGGTGACGTTTTCAAATGTCTTGAATAGAAATAAGAAATTACAATCAATTATCAGAATAGCTGTCAATCAATTCTCTCTTGACTAATAGTTGCAACTTTAATCTCATTTATTTTGTCTATTCAAAAAAGTTGCAAACTTTTAAAACTTATATAGAACTAGATTTGCAGGCGACAACTAATTTCATTATTGATTAATCGTTTGGTCTGTAAAATATCAGAAAACAGTGAAAATGTCCTTCTTAAAATTCACTTTACCGTCAGCTACAATAAAGAAAAGCAGCAAATCCTTCAGAGAATTGTCCGTTTTTGTGCTTAAAAAATGACTCCAACATATAATTGATTATAAAAAATTGATGCCGATTAGTTTTCAGTCGATCAACGAATCGCTTCAGGCCAAAAAATGAGAAGTAAATTGCAGAATGAACTGAGGTTTTGTCAGGAACAGGTGTTCCTCCTTGTTACTGTGCTCAGGTTGTTTCAGTCACAGTCACCAGGACACGGACAGTGATGCCGCTGAGAGGTCGACGCACTGCACTGACTTTTATTGTCTTCACTTCTCAGCATCTTCTGTGAAGCACCTTGTAACTCTGCACTATAAAAATAAAGTTATTATCATTATTATTATTATCATCATCATAAAGTTTTCTGCAGCTGCACCGTGCTGCCTTCAGGGCCTCCGTACAAAGAGGAGAAAGTGGGAAGATTTATATTTAATTTGGGAATAAAATAATTAACATCAGGTACTATATATTTAATTTGAGCCCCTTTTTCCTAATGTTGTTTCTTTAATAAAAACCCATGTTTGCACACTAACTTATAACACAGAACATGACATTTTCCGCAGCACATTGAGGGTCAGATATCGATCCTCTAGATATTAGGCGTCACTCTAGTCCTCGCCTTCAGGGTACCAGATACTGGCCTGTAAGTTTTGGCCTCGTTTCATGAACATGTAATGAGAAAACAACATCTCATTTTTTGTCTTTTTTTTCTGTAGTAACTTAATAAACCTCCTCCAGGGAAATCATCACACCGCAGCCTCAGACCTTTCCCATCTGGCCTCCTCTGTGCGGGCAACCTTTAATACACTCCTGTAGGGTAAAGTAATTGTAGAGTTCCCACCAAAGTGTCTCAGTGCAATAATATGAGATGATCTGAGGCCGGTATGGAGAAGGAACATATATTATACATAATACAAACTTTTGCACAGATAAAATAAGAATCACAGAGTTGTTTTGCATCTTAGAAATTCATCACAAATATGTCCTTACAGAAAAATACTGTTTAGTCTTTATTAACAGTTTATAAACTGTTAATAAATGTTTATAACCGCTGTATAAAAAGTAAATTAATACCTGAATAATATATAATGACGACAACTACTTTCACTGCCTTTCCTGGTTGGAAATTGAAAGTACGCTGCACCTGTAACCACACCCACCAGTGATGTCACGGTGTACCGACACACCTTCACCTTACACTTCCACATCACTGCAGCGAGGTTATCAGTTGCTCTTTCAATTAAATATTATTGGAAAACATCACTCTATCTAAATGCATGCAGAAACAGTCCAACGTACACAAAAAGACACGCACACACATACACACAGTCATGCATGTGTGGATAGATCAGGCCCACGGACGTGCACACACATGCTGGCTTTAAATATACATCACTGCACTTACCGGCCGTCAGAAACTAGTACAACAGTCAGACAGACGAAATACAAGTGTACATCCCTCCCAACACACACACACACACACACACAGACACACAACCACACAGACACACACAGACATACACACACCCCTGCAGGTGACTCACCTTGAGGTCTCTGTGTACCACCCCCATCTGATGGCAGTGGAGCACGGCCTCCAGGATCTGCTGGATGCAATGACTGCATGCAAACAGCAGGGGGAGCAGGTTAGTCTGAACACGTCCATGCAGAGGAAGCCACCTCTCTCACACACACACACACACACACACACACACACACACACACACACACACACACACACACACACACACACACACACACACTGATCTTACATCAGTTGTGAAGACACTCATTGACATAATGCATTCCCTATCTCTTACTCAAACCTTAAACATCACAAATAAAAGCCGAACGCTGAGCTCCACCTTGACTCTGAGCTCCGCCCTAAACCAGGAGCTGGTTTCACAAAGACAGAGTTTGACTGTGTGAGTTAAAAAATGGTCAGACTTCAGAAAGACTGAGTCTAAATTCATCCGTTGTGCAAAGCAGTTTAGTTCTTGACTATCTTAAGCCGGACTGTGGTACAATGAATTCTGGGTAAATTAAACTTTTCAAAAAAATGGCCGCCTGAAGAACGCTCAGCTCTGTTTACCCTCAGCAGAAAATATTTGTCTTTTGGAAGAATTCAGCAGCTACAGGGACATTTTATTTTGGAAATTCAGCGAAGAGTGAAACAATAAAAATAAAAATCTGATTTTGGTCTAAAACTCTTTCCCTTCTCGTTGCTCTCTCCGTGACAATGTTAGCAAACCACAAATTATATGATCTATGTTTTCTTGTTTTTTGTTGTTGGGTGCTACTGGTCAGCGCAGGTGTCATTGATTACCATGTTACCATGGTAACATTGATCTTGGGCTTAATTTTTGCTCATAGATCAGTCTAATGCAATTAAGAAAACATTAGACACCTAACTCCCAGGCTAACCCAGGCCTAAAATGTTACCATGGTAACAATCAATGACACCTGCGCTGAGCAACAATAAAAACACAGGAAAACATGGCTCAGAATTTGTGGTTTGCTAACATTTTTATGGAGAGAGCAACGAGGAGGGAAAGAGTTTTTCATCGTTTCACTCTTCGCTGAATTTCCAAAGTAAAGCGTCTTTGAAAGTGTTGAATTCTTCCAAAAACCAAACGAAGCGGTTTGATGCGGTTCCTCGGTCGGCCATTTTTTATATCGAAAAAAGTCTGAATTTACCCAGAATTCATTGAACCACAGTCTGCCTTAACTAAACCGTTTTATGCGACAGATGAATTTAGATTCAGTCGATCTGAAATCTATTTGTTATATCCAAGACACAGTCAAAGTCTGTCTTTGTGAAACCGGCTCCTGGTCTGACAAACATTAGACTAAATAATGAGCCAAATTAAGAGTGGACCGACACTACACACCAGTCTGAAGTCTCTTTGTAAAACTGACCCCAGGTCTTAATCCTCAAACAGCCCTTTAAGGTGTGACGACCGGCCAACATGTCCTCAACGATGGTTTCAAAATAAAATGTGTCCACACACACACTACCACACACACACACACACACGTTTATTCGATGTAGCAATGATCTCTCGCTGCACACTCGCTCACTCACTCACACTTACAAGGAAAGGTGTGAAGAGTGAACCTGTCTGTGAACTATCGAGGGAGAAGGTGCACAGTTTTCTATTTTCAAGAAAAAAATGAGTCAGGCCGTGTAGGAGTGAGCTGCAGCTCCACGTGGGAGACTCTGTGTCTAACCTGCACATTTCCCTGTGTAATTTATTCAGCAACGCCTTGACGCCTTTGACGGGAAAAGATTTAGCAGGTTTCCAAGCATCTGAAGTAGACACTGCTCTGCTGTTACTCTACTGAACTCTACTCTCTTTCACTTTCTCTCTCGTGCGTGCTTACTCACTCACTCGCTCAAGTGCTTACTCACTCACTCGCTCACTCTCTCACTCGCTCACTCTCTCACTCGCTCATGTCTGCTAAGGACCCCCAGGAAATCGCCATTCTAGTTCAGACCATCTAAAATAGTCCAACAAGAGTCCCAAAAGCAAAACCTGAAGACAGGCAGACACGCACAGAAAGAGACAGACGGACGGACGGACGGACAGCAGGCACAGGCAAGTTGTTTTGTTTTTTTTTAAATCACAGGCAAAATGTTAAATAAAAGATAAATAAAAACACAGGCATGTAAACAACAACCCTTGTACAGAAGGTGCAGGACAGTGCAACACAATGAGAGACACACACACACCTTGAGGTCCCTGTGCACTATTTCATGTTGGTGGGTGTAAGACACACTGTCTAGAATCTGATGTATACAGTGACTGTGGAGACAAAACGACAGGGTGAGGAGCAGATAAAGGAGGGAACACGTCAGAGAAGAAGATCACACGCTCAGTTCACCAAAATAAAAAAAAAGAACATATTTCCTGACTTATGTCTAACCTGACATGTAGATAGTGTTGCTTTCATTTTCCAGGTTTGTTCCACCTGAACTCAATGGTGGTGAATGAAGTTATATTTGTGGAGCTGACAGCATTAAATAAAAAGAAAGATGCCGAGCGTCCGGGGAGCAGAGATTCCTCCCTGTGTCTGCGTGGGTTTTTCAAAGACATGACAGGTTGGAGTTTATTGGCGACTCTAAATGACTCGTAGGTGTGAATGGTTGTTTGTCGGCCCTGTAATGGACTGCTGACCTGTCAAGGCTGTCATCTCCCTCACCTAATGTCAGCTGGGATTGGCTCCAGCCACCCCCACGGCCCCTAAAAGGATTAGCAGTATGGCTAATAGGAAGGACTGTGCAAAAGTTGTTTTATTTATCAATTAACTTCATCCAAAGTAAAGAGAAGAAAAGGACTAAATCAAACTAAACCCCCTCTGCCTTTAAAACAGCACCAGCTCTCCTCGGTTCTTCGGGTACTGGTTCCAGCATCTTGGAGAACCCGCCCTGTGATCCCAGACTGACTCCATGATGCTGAGATCAGGACCCAGATCTGAACTTACTTCTCTGGCTGTTATGTTTGGACTTGTTGTCCTGCTGCAGAAAGGATTTCAGACGTTTTCCTGACGGGACTGTGTCATGGAAAAGAATCTAAACATTGGAAGGGCCTAAAACTTTTGCAAAGTTCATCCATCCATCTTCTTTTTTTCCCCCTTATTTGAGGTCGGGGAGCAAAGCAAAGCAGTGCAGACGTCCCTCTCCCCCAGCAATGGCAACAGTCTTTGGTTTCATGCATTTAGGTTTGTAAATATCCGTTTCTCAGATTTCTGCCTCCGTCCTGATACAGTGGAGGTGAGTGGGATTTTGTTATTGGGGCTCACAGCATTGAAAAATGACAAAAGAGTCAAGAAATTCAAATCATTCTGAAGTGGGTGTGAATCTGAATTATAGTTTCGAAAAGTTAGAGAAATTATTAGACGCATCGCTCCTGGATCAGACGTCGGAGAGGTGTGTGTGTGTGTGTGTGTGTGTGTGTGTGTGTGTGTGGTTGTTGGGTGTTTTGGGTGGGTTGGGGGGGGGGGGACAACACACCAGCAGCATCTTGGTGAGCGTCTTTCCAGGCAGATTTGTATCATCTCATCAGAATACATCACAGTCCTATTTCCCTACATCGCCTCCTGGCACTGTAGTGTTTTGTGCTAAATGCTAATGTCAGCATGGAAAACCCCTTCAGAAACCGATATTTACAAACCTAAATGCATGAAACCAAAGACTGTTGCCATTGCTGGACACAGATAAGCGAGAAAATATGTTTTTGTGTAATCTGGGTGAACCCTCAGTTTAACAGGGTGGAGAGAGGAGGGAAGGATCAAGCGATTCTGTGTGCAGATGGAGTACAGAGAAGGAAACTGTCAGCGAGATACTGTTGGACAGTAGTCAAGCCATGCTACACCCACACACACACATACATATAGAGACACACACACACACAATTTAATACAGAGAATAATGGAGAGTGAAGGCAGAGGCGAGGGGTTTAAGAACACAGAGGAAAAACAGGGAATCTCCATACATTGAGATCATCATCAAGGCTCTTATGTGCCATCATTCTGGTTGCATAACAAGTGCCCTACATTTTAACTGGAGATTCAGTGTGGTGTGAATTCAGGTGTGAAAACAAACAGACCTGGTGATGGTTATGTAGTGCGAGTGTAGCAAATTCTGCCTCATTGAAATACACCAAACATCATTTTTGTTGCCTTTCTTTTAAACCTGTTAACAGAAACCACCATTTTTGTGCACAAGTCTGAAAATAATGAACCTAAAATCAAAACATTTCTGCTCTTCAACCATTCAATTACAGTCCTAACCTTGGCTTCCTCTGAAAGCTAATCCTTTCTATATTTTATATAATCAAAAAGTCAAGTCAACAGCTGCTGCAGTGCAGCCAGGAGGCTTTCACATAGTGTTGAATTTGTCAAGATTGTGCGAAGACCGAGACCAAAACACACCTAAAGTAGTGCTGCCAAGGCCAAGGCATCCCACAAGCTTTTTAAAGGTTAACCTCAACTCTGCATTTATTCTCCTAAATAAATAGTTCGGTCGTTCTCAGAGCAGCATTTTACAGCACTGATTACAGAAAGGTTCATTACAGTGTTGATCCTGAACACTGTAGCTCTGCAGTGACCACATTAATAAAGAGCTGTGGTATGTTAAGTGGTATCATCTGCATAAAAACATACATTACAATGTGGAATCATAGATATTATTTATGTAAATGGCAAATAAAAGAGGACCAAGCATAAACCCTTGTGGGACACCTTTACAAATCTTAAGAGCACCATATAACCACTACAAACTTCCACTTGAGTAGTATTAAATATTCAGCGTTCATGTCGCCCTAAAAAAGGACGATAGGATGGTGAGTAAGCAGTATTAGCTTTAATGTAGGACAGCTCTCCCGTTACTGTGTTTATAGGTTTAATCAATAGGTATTATATTCAGACATGTCTGACAAACTTTGAAGCTTTGCCTATATACATGGCATCATTATCACTTTTTGTGCACCAGCAGCATCAGTAGAAGTAGCAATTTCATAGATGAGAGACATCAGGCATCTGAAATAAACCCTAAAATATAACCCTCGCCCTCAGCGATAGCAGTTAGCTATTACATTTAGCCACTTGTAAGCAGCAAACAAAAACCTGCCTTATGGCCTCTGCATTTTTCATGTTATTAAATTCTGTACTTGAATAAATCTGCATATTTTTCATGAAGGTTGAAGCCTGTCAGAACAAACTGAAACAAGCACCATAAAGATATGACTTGTAAACTACTAAACACACTAAATATGGCATTTTTCAAATATAGGATCAACACTTTCACACCTACTACTGCTGCTTTTACCAACATCTAATATATCTAAATGTCATGTTTTCATTAATTATTATATGCTGGACTTTTTCACTTCACAAAGATGATTTTCATCATATGCTTGACGACTGGGAAACAGCCAATACTTCAGTTTCTCTGTGTTGAAAGCATACTGTGTGGAAAAGGTCATTTATAGCCTGGAATATGGCAACAAGTGGAGTTATAAAAAAAAGGCCAGAGATGAGACCAGGAGTGAGAGATGAAAAAAAATATTTCAAATCAGCTGGAAAAAAATCAACAGTTTTTCCTCTTTTTTCTGCGTTTCTCATTCTACCTCTTTTATTCCTCCTCTCAGTGTTTCTGTCCCCTTCTTTTCTTCTCTCTCTCGCCTCCACAAACCGCCTCCACAGTCAAATTGATTTAAGTCTACCTCCTGAGGGGGTTACGACGTGGGCGTGTGTGCAAGTCTGTGCATGTGTACGTTTCCATCTGTCTGTAAAATTTCGGACTCTGGGGAAAACTCCTCGACCTCGATTTGCAATTCAGTTCACAGAAAAACAGTGTAGAGGTATTATCCATCACATCTAGAGCCTCTAACGCCAAAAAAACAGTGTCAAAATTGCCTCTGTGTGTGTGTGTGTGTGTGTGTGTGTGTGTGTGTGTGTGTGTGCTAATGAGAGGAGTCCAACTCTCTGAGCTGCTGGAGGACTGCAGAGGACTGACACATGGAGGGGATGAAGAAGACAAGAGAGATGAGATTCATGGGTGTTTACCTGGCATCTGCTTCACTGTAGTACTCTCTCGCCACAATATCCTCAAACAGCTCCCCTCCTGTCACCCTGGGAAACGTAAAGATGGAGGTTAAAACGCAGAATTATGTACACACACACACACACACACACACACACACACACACACACACAGAGAGAGAGAGAGAGAGAGAGAGAGAGAGAGAGACAGGAGGGGGATGTCCTCATTAGGGGGAAACCCCGGCTGCAGGATTCACTCCAACTGCGTTGCCATGGAGACTGGCTCCAGTGCGGGGGAGTGTGGATGTATCTGTGTGTGTGTGTGTGTGTGTGTGTGTGTGTGTGTGTGTGTGTGTGTGTACTAAAGTGGGAGCTGCAAGGGGGGAGGGGGGAGGGAGGAGGTGGAGGCGGTGGGGTTGGACTGTTATGTAATGGGGGGAACTGCCTTGGAAGCGAGGAGGGGATGAAGAAGAAGAGAGGGAACAGAAAGAGAATGTGGATAAAAAAAAGAAAGAAAGTAAGGGAGCTCAAGAGGAGACAGATTGAAGGAAGGGAGTGGAAAATGAAGCACCAGGGGAGTAGGAGGAGGAGGAGGAGGGAGCGCAGCACAGCATGGCATAGAAAGAGAAGAAGTGAGAGGGAAAGAGGAGGAGGAGGAGGATGAAGGAAGGAGGGAAGGGGGGAAGAGGGAGGAGAAGACGAAGCAACTCACAGGTCAAAGATTAGATAGTGGAAACCTTCCTCTGAGATACTGTCATGGAGACGAACTGGAGGGAGGTGAAGAGAGAGGGAGAAACAGAGAGAGAGAGAGAGAGAGAGAGAGAGAGAGAGAGAGAGAGGTCTTTCATCTTCATAGTATTTACTATAATACACATTATTATTTTGGTCTTAAAGGACCAGGCCGGTGATATTTTTCTTGTTTTCAATAAATCTCATGAAGCCAAAACATAAAAGCAAAATGGTGACGTTTGTAATTTCACTGAACTGTAGCTGCACAACTTTGACACATCAGTGAGCCACTCTGTGTAACCGGGTGACCTTCATCACCATGAACACACACTGTACTTTATTTTTCCCACACACACACACACATTGTCCTCCTGCCCTAAATACTCCCTATAAGGCACCAAATGTGGATCAATCCACCGCTGAAAATAGACCCCCAGCAAATGCATTATTTCCTCCTGTTTGTTTGATAAAACTACAGTGACTGGCTAATTTAGGAGCTTGGGGCCAGCTGCACAAAACACCTTAAGTTTTCAACTTTAGTAAGGGCACTTAAGGGTTAATTTCTTTAAGTTACTTAAGGGTGTTGCACAGAATCTCTTAAGATTCTTTTAAAGAGGCAAAGACATCATTAAGGGTGCATCCCGGTCGCTGCACACTTCCTGGGATATATTTATTTTCTTCATTCTGCCCCCGTAGATTCATTTTTCACAGTTTTTATTTAAATTTAAGTTAAATAAAGCACAGAACAAAAAAAAACACTTGGAGATTTTTAAAAAAGGAATCATGGAATCACTTTGTGCAACTACATTTTTGACACTTTTACCTTATAAAGTTTTTCATGGGACATTAAACTTCTCAAACTGCAATAAAAACAAGTTTTCTGAAACTCTTGATGTTCACACTGAGAAATGTTAAAGTCTGACTGTGTTTTTGAACCTTCTCCATGTCTTTAGCACCAGTTCATACACATTTTTAAAAATTCAGACCAACACATTTGGTATTTTTGGAGATTTTTGGATCTCTGCTAGAATTTAAAATAAAGTTCTGTGCATTTGGAAAATGTTTTTGAGATTGTATTGATTGTACAGGGATTAAACAACAACAAACGTCGGTCATGATGTATTAATGATGATGGCGCACGAGAAGACCGTCTTTGGGAACCAGAGCACATTTGAAAAAGGAGACTCACCGATGTTGGGGTGCTTCAGTAGTCTGCAGATGCGAGCTTCTCTCTCCAGCTTCTGGTGGTCTACAAGACGCAGTCGGTCACACCAGGGTTTAAAACAACAGCAAACAAATGAAAGATGAAGAAGCAGTTTGGGCTGATGTGGACTTTACAACAGAGAAATCAGGAAATCAAATGTGTCATCATGAAAACCACATTACAGTTTGTAAAGACTGAAGTTCTGACTGTTTTCAAGGTGATTGACGAGGAGTTATGAGACACACACACCGATGAGAACGGCCTGAGGGCTACACTTGTCCCAGATGCCTATTTAACCCCCCAATCCTGAGAGAGGGGGAGGGGAGAGGAGAGGAGAGGAGAGGAGAGGAGAGGAGAGGAGAGAAAGGGAAACAAGGGAGGAGAGGGAACAAGGAGTAGAAAGAAGAAGGAAGCAAGGAAGGGGGCAAGAGGAGCAGAAACAAGGAGAGGAAACAAGAGGAGGGGAGGAAATGAGATGAGAGGACATTAGAGGACAGGAAAATGGAGAAGAAGAAGCAAGTGGAGGAGAGAGGAGACAGGAGAGGAGAGGAAACGAGAGTAGAGGAGAGAAGGAGAAACAAGAGGAGAAGAAAGGAAACGAGAAGAGGACACAAATTGAAAAGAGAAGAAAGGAGGACAGATATGAGAGAAGGAGATGAAACAGGAGTGGACAGAAGAAGGAGACAAGGAGAGGAGACAAGAGGACGGGAGAGGAGAGGAATAGGAAACAAGAGAGGGAGGGAGATCCAGTTGAGTGGACGGTCTGTCCTGATGAGGAGTGTGTTGTATCTGCTTCTTCTCTGACTGACAGCAGCACAGCGTCCTGCAGCTCAGACACACACTCCTCTGTCCGTCAAGTAAAGAACAAAGATGGCTGACTGATCGTTCCTCAAAAACCACACTGCAGGAAGCGGCCGGCCCGGACACTCCAACAAACAAGCTCATGTCTTGTTTTAAAAAAGATGGTGCAACCACAGCCCCACCCATGAATGATCTCATTCCTTTGCAGTAATTACACCATTGTTGCTATTTTTAGATGATTTCTGAGGTGTTTCTACAGTTTTTGATGATTGTATCGAGAGAAGACGATGCTGCTTCATCTCAGTTCCACTTACAATGACATAATATCTACAAATAGCACTTTCAAAGGGACACTGTTTCCATGTTGTGTAGCAGAGTGTGAAAACTGAGCACAAACTCATCATTTTATCCCATTCTTCTTATAATTTGTTCAGGAAAATGTAAATTTCAGAGAGCATCAGTCGCCCCAGACGCTTGGATCCTTCCTCTCGCCGTTGGATTCGACAGCTCTTCTGAGTGAAACCATCATCTGCCTCTCTCCGAGGAACAGACGTGAAGGCTTCACACGCTGGAACCAAAACAAGCGCTAAAATATGCTAATGTAAGCTTTCAGATCTGGGACGTACACACATGCACATAATGATGAAAGCTCCCTCGGCTTCTGCGTATGACTGAAAACACACAACCATACAGCCACAGTGCAGGGTTAAGCTGTCGACGTATTTCTCTCACCTCTGGCCGAGAGTTTTTTGGTGTTGATGATTTTGGCGGCGTACTCTTGGCCTGTGCAGAGTTTGACACAGCGGCGCACCACTGAAAAGGCCCCCCTGGGAAACAAAGACAGGAGACAGGAGGAGGAGACGGGTCAGCTGCCATATGAGCTTTGTCAGCATCAAAACGGACGCCTCAGCTATCACACTGACCTCATGTTTGTCCTGGAGCCCTCTCTGCTTCAAACCAGCCTGACCTGCATGCCTGATATACTGTACATGAATCTGGAGCTGTGTCATAGTCTCTTTCCCTTCCCTTGAATAACTTCAAAATTACAGTTATTTTTGTTAATAATCGATCGATTGAAAAGTGTTAAACGCCTCTTTATTCAAGTTAACATATTATAATTTCTTGTTTTGTCTGAGCAATATTCAAAAACCCAAAGATCTTGAGTTTATTATCATATAAAACTACAAAACTAACAAACATTCACATTTTGAGAAACTGGTTCCACTGAATTTTTGGCTTTTTTGCTTGAAAAATTAGTTGAATGATGACTCATTTATCAAAAATGCCAATTAATTTTCTGTCAATCAACTAATCAATGAATCATTTCAGCTTCAGAGCACTGGTTGGTTTCTGTCTGTCTGGTAAAACTATCTGAAGGGGGAAAAGACTTCAACACAAGACTGGGTTGCCGACAGAAGTAAACAAGCTAACAAGATATAAATCTGCGTATCACACTGAAAGGTTTAAGCATTTTTGCCAAGAAATGACACACAGTACAAAAGGTACCATTAGAAACCAGCAGGGATGATGAGGCCAAGAATAATGTACCCTGTGCAATGTGAAATAAATGTTAATTTATGAAAAATTATTTCCCATTGTGTTATTATTTCCTGGCATATTACTAATGATGTAACAAATTAATCACTAAACACAACCTGAACCTCGATAAGCTGCAGAACATGGATGGATGGATGGATGGATGGATGGATGGATGGATGGATGGATGGATGGATAGATTCATTTAGCACAAGCTAATTTAATTTACTTTAAGGTCAGAGATCCAGAACAATAGTACAGTGGATTTTCCAGCCAGGTTTTACTACAGTCAGCTATTTCCTATGGCAGGATAGAAAGGATATTTATGACCTTTGTAAATCAAATTTAGGACTTTTTAATACCTTTTAAGGCCTTTTTCAAGAAAACATAAATCAGTGCTTTTCAAGACCTCCAGATACCCTCTGAATTAATCAGCTATTTTTCAACTGGTGATTTATCCATCCATTTTCAGCTGCTTATCCAGGTACAAGTCACATTAACTAATTAATTGTATTATTAGGAATTACTATTATATATAGCTGGGAAGTATGCTATATCTGAAAATGTCCAAAATACAAACAAGAAAACAACAAACCGAAGTGTCAGCAGACTGTTAGCACCACGGCTGCGCCACCATCACAGATACATCGAAATAAAATACATTAATAACACAGATACAATCCATTCAGCTCATTTTATATGAGATATATCACTTGCTTACACAACAGAATAAGCTAATTCAGGCTGTTACTATACGGCTAGTGTTAGCACCAAGGCTAACCACCTTGGAATAATGCGTCAACTCTCTGTTCAAGTGTTTTTCCTGTTTTTACCATTCTCCTGACATTCTTACAACAGCGCCCCCTGTGGTCACACTTTAACTGTATTCAAATTCAAACAGAATACAGCTTAGGGCTTCTTTCCTCCGTGACTTGAATAATCTCATAGAAGAAAGTGGCATCAAATGGCAAGAATTAGAGGAAGAAAAGCAGCATTTCAGGGATAAGACCTGTAGTGTGTGTGTGTGTGTGTGTGTGCTGGAGTTTTTCGGGCCACATTTGCTCATCAAACCCAACAGAGACAAACAGAAATAACCACCTCTGTCATTTCTCAGAGCTAATTTTACCTCACCTCAGGATTGTTACGCAATGAAACACTCACACTCCCCTCAGAGCCCCTGCCTCTCACGAGCTCTCCAACACGCGAACATGATGAGGATACGGGGTGAGTAAGCATGACACTCGCTGACACTCCCGCCGTGTGGTAGAGGAGGCAACGCAGCTTCAACATGACAGGTTATCTGCAGGGCAGGTGGGAGTCAGGGGGAGGGTTGGATCCGGATCCAGAACCTGCTGATTAGCCGAACTCCGAGTGTAACAAATACCTAATATAATCTCTTATAATCTCCCTCTTTTCTTATTGGCAAAACGTAATGTATAAAACACTCAGGAAGAGCCATTTAGCCAAATAACGAACATGTTATACATATTTAAAAGCATGAATATTAGCAGTGATAGCAACAATATAATACTATTCTTGACTTAAATTATTAGCTTTATGTAGAGTGTTTAAGTGCATCTTATTATCCCCACTATAACTAAACAAAATGATTGCCTGTTGAATACCATAACATGTGGTTGAAAGCTCCAGAAAAAGCTAATGAAAGGACCATAAAAAGTCAAATAAGATTGACTCATTATGCACTGAAAAAAAATCTAATTCAATAACTAGATTAGTGCTGAAAATAAACCCAAAACCTTGTCAGTACACAGAGCGAGAGTTAGCGTTAGCCACTGCCGGTTACAAGCTAGCAAACAATATAAACAAATAAACCGTTCTTTTACGTCTGCTAGTCGCCGATTTTGGTCACAACAGATTCCTCATCTGGGTGTGGGTCTGGCTGACAAACATGAGGCTGAGTCGCTCCAATGTTTCCTCTAACACCAACCATCGTGATTCACACTGCTCCTTCACCTGTCACTAAAACCTCCTCCGTACAGAGAGCCAACGTTTGCGTTAGCATAGCGGCTAACACTGCGTTAGCCTCTGCCAGTTACAAGCTAACAAGCTAACAAACAACGTACGAATAACTAGCTTACCGTTCCGATACGTCGCTGATTCTGGTCACAGTAAACTCCTCAAAAACTCCCGAGTCTGACTGAGGCTTAAACATGTGGCAGAGTCTCTCTGATGAAATCTTTTTTGAAAGACTTGGATATCAACAGGATTTTGGATATGTGCAAATATGGCATCGCTGACTTTTAATCTGAGTTATTAGAGTCTACACAGCTGCATGTAAACGGAAATATTAGTGGAATATTCATTTTGATTAGCTATAGAAATATAGTCTTTTTCAGAATATGGGCAAAAACAGCCTATTTGTGCTTGGTAATTGGTGTGAACTGCAATTGCAGTGGGTAGATTTTCCCACCACCGGCCACAAGGGGCAGCAATGAGCCCATCTCGCACTTGAAAACAAACTTCAACAAGTGACAATGGTGAGATTTTCTTTCTTTATTATAAGTGTTTTCAAACTGTATTTTGTGTTTTACACGAGAAGACACTTTAAGGATGTAAACTAAGTCCTTCAGGAGTTGGCGGAGACCCAAAAACAGAGCTAAAAGAGAGGGAACATTAACTTAGATTCATCATGACGGGTCATGTGGAGTGGTTTTTGTTTGGAAATAAGCAAATGTTTGATATCACAATATTCACTTAAATGATACGTCAGTGTTCACACCTTGTTTCCGCTGACCCCAAATGGCCAAAAAAAATCAGTTATTACAGGTTTAAACTATCCACTGTGAGTTCGACAGTGTTATAGGAGTACAGCGCTACATCAGTGGAGCACTATTTGTAAGAACTTTTTGGGCAGCTTCAATTAATTTAAAATCAAAAGACCCTAAACTTGACGTCCAAATCTGACAAAATTACACCATCAGAATAAAAAGCAGCAAATCTTTACAAATGAGAAACTGGACCTGGGGAACATTTGGTATATTTTCTTTATAAATGAAGTTAAGTCCTGGAATTCAAAACTTTACTTCAGTAAAAGTACAAAAGTATGAGCTTCAAAATATCCTTAAAGTGAGAAAGGTACTCATTATGAACAGTGGCCCATTTCAGAATAATGTATATTATATTACTCGATTATAAATACTGATGCATGTGTACATCATTTTAATGTTGCAGCTATACTCTACTAATTTTAATTACTTTATATACTGTTGAGTAGCGTCTGAATTTACCTTAATTTTATTAATTTATCATAATTTTGTTGTTTTACATTTGTATTATTGTAGTATTTTGTATTTGTATTAATGTCAATGTGCAAAGTAACTAGTAACTTAAGTTATCAAATCAGTAAAAGTACAATATTTGCTTCTGAATTGTAACAGAGTAAAAGTATGAAGAAGTAGCCGACCTCAAGTACAGTATTTACTTTCCACCACTGTTAATGGTTAATGGTTATTGATTGATCATCAAAATAATTGCTGATTATTTTTCTGTCAATCACAAATCATCACAACTTTAATCAAAGCCCAACCCTAAAAGTCTCAACACTAGACCTGCTCAGTACAATATCCGCCAGTCTTCACATCTGTATCCCACACACACACACACACACACACACACACACACACATATATATATATATATATATTCCGAACACACCAGAAAGTGACAACATTGGCAAAACAGTAATAAGGCTATGTTATCAGTGAGGGCAGCTGCTGCTTCTCCAGCATGTCTATTGTCTTTAACTTATCACACACTCCCACACACGCACACACACACACACACACATACAGGGTTGGAGAGCAGAGCTCAACACAGCATGTAAAATAAAACACCAACATTACAGGTTGACAACTGAATCCACTCCACAGCACTGAACTTGCATTTTTATCCCCCACGGCTTGTGGAATAAATGTTCCTGTGAGGCAAACATTGCAGAGAGATCCTCTCTACCCACGCACAACCTGACAGAGACATTGAGTCCACTTTGCATCTACCCACTGTGGCACCCATATCCTCTTCACTCTCTCTCTCAATTTGTCCGCATGCTATTAGGGGCCACACATCCCCAATCTCTCTTATTTCTGCCTTTTGTTTCCATCACTAGACCAACCTCGTTAGATTAGCGGCAGATCAAGAGCAGCAGCATTATTCTCTGATTTCTCCCCTAAGCTGTGTGCCACTGTGATTAAAGCCAGAGGATGATGAGGGAGCTTAATTCCGACACATCAGCTTTTCCCTGATATTAGGGCCTGTTTGTCCCTAATTAGCCTCTGGGCAAAGAGGAGGAAGAAGAGGGGGGGGTGAGCCCAGAAGTGCTCCTGGGCTCATGCAACCCCATCCCCATGCAACCCTAACTATCTGACGGCTTGTCACAGCCACCACAGCTCTTAAAGAAGTGTGGTGGTGCAAAAAAAAGAAGAAGCCATGCACTGAGAAACTCAGGATTTAGATTTGGAGGCTAATTATAGATGCAGGAGATCTCCAAAGCAGCGTGCGTTTTGTTTTGGAGGGATGGAGCTGCATCCATCATCGCAGATGTGCGGAGCTCCATCCCTCCTTCTCCTGTGCGGCTGCAGGACGGGGTCAGGCTGCATGCAGGAGACTTATCATAGCGGATAATGTGACAGCGGCTTACTTGCCAAGCTCCTCGTACAGCTGGTATTCATCTGTAAAACGTGTACAAGTAGTCGTTGCCATGATGCTGCTGCCTGCCTGCCTCCTCCTCCTCGGACGGGTGCGGGTGCCGAGTCCGAAATGCACGGTGCGTCGCTGCGGACGGGGAGAACCTCGGGCTCAGTCTCCGCCCACCTCAGACCTCCGGACGGTTGAGTGGTTCAGCTGCAGCCCGGCACACACACACATACACACACACACTCTCTCTCTCTCTCTCTCTTCTCTCTCTTCTCTCTCTGACACACACACACGGTCCAGGCTCTCTCCGCGAGGAGGACGGAGTCTTTAAATACCACACAAAATGGTAACGTGAGCTCACCATATGACGTGTAATTTAAAAAAAAAAAAGGAAAAGAAATAAAGAACAAGTGAAATCAAAAGGCTGAGAGTGGCTGATTGAAGAGCGCGGGGGAGCGTGCGCAGCATTTGATTACACATTATTATAGATCACAAAATGAAGAGAAGCCCGCGGCCCATAATGAAATTACTTCACTTGTTACTTACTTGAGCTCAGTCTGTTTTTTAGGTTTTCAGGAGGAGGAACCTCAATGGATCAAAAACTCTCAATTCCTCTCAGTGATTTCAGTAATTGCTCCGGAGTCTTTGGCAGTCTGCAGCAGGGTTGTCTCTATTTCCCATTTATCAAATAAAAGGATCAATTAACATAATAGATTTAATTTGGACTGGGCCGGATTAACCTGAGTTCCCCCCACATACCCACCGACCGCCGTTTTCTGCAACAAGTCCTCCAACTTAAACAACCATATAGGTCGTTTTTTTGAAACCCGCAGCAGTGTCTCAACCGTTCCTAGGTTGCCATGGTTACCATAATAAACACAAGACTGTACTGAGTGTCGCTGCTGTTACTATAATAACGCTCATGGCTTGGTTAGGTTTAGGGGGGAAAAAAATCGTGATTTAGGTTAAAATAAGTACTCCCTCAACATTGGACGATCTTTGTTGTCATGGTTACAATTATAACAACAAACAATCATAGATACACAGAAACTGCCGGTTTCACACGGGAATCAAACAGCCTGTTATATTCATCCATCCACCACAACCGGCCACAACCTCCTCCTGACTCGGACATTGTCGCTTATTAAACTACGTCACCGCACTTTTCCTTTTGCTTCTGTCATAAATACTACTACCACTAGATGTCGCCTAGCAACAAAACGTAACTATGGGTCATAATAACCAGCTACACAAACGACCTATGGGCTCGTTTTTTACAGGACAGTCTCGTTTTGTTGCCTTCAACCATTAATACTTGCTGACAACTTGCGGAGCATTCAGGCTTGACGCAAAACACTTGATGGTGGAAAGTTTATCATAAAACTCTGTATGTGTAAAATGCAAATCCACAAGCGTAGAACTGAGATCAACAAATGATTTTTCGCTTCACAAAGAGAAAATTGATTCACAAATGTCTTTTTGAAAGTTGTAAATGTTTAGAAAATATTCACAAAAGCTTTTAATTTATTTTTAAATTAATTTAATGTATTCAGATGTTTTTATTCGTGGAATTTGTGTGTTTGCAATCCGTTTTATATTTGCAAGATATTTTTGTGAGTTGACAAATGTATTTTTTGTATTTGTGGAAGGTGTTTTGATATTTACAGATCAAACATTTAATCGCTGATTGTCACTCCTTACTGGTTACTCAAAGCAACTTTTCCAGTGCTTTCAACCACATCTCACAGTCCTCATCATGGGTTGAGTTTATTCAGTTGTCATCTTGTTATCAGTGTAAACTCTGTACTTTATTTATTCTTATATTAACGCTCCTTAAAAATAAAGTAAACTGCTTCATGTGGAAGACGTAGAATGACATTTGTTAAATGCAGCAACAATTTCCCCTAAAATTTAAAATACATCATAGTTTATCATAAACTCCATTCACTAGAAAAAGATAGTAAGTGGGCCTTTAGTGGAAGGAGGTCAATTTTTTCACTCATTTGCTTCCAAGGTCAAAAACTAATTGTTGACAAGCTTCTAATTGAACATTTGTTTTGTTGTTGAGGTGATAGATCCTGACATCAGGCGCTAAGACGAGTTTGAGTCAGGATCATTTTTACAGCTGTAGAATTGTCCATCTGATCATGTTACTTGACAGAAAAACAGACCTGCATTCATTAAAGTTGTAAGATTTAGACTTTAAAAATGCTCTAAAGGACCAAATTTAAGGCTGAAAATGTTTGTGATGACATGATTGATCACATCTAATCAGAGATATAGATTGACCCTAAATCTGCTGTGCATCCTTACTGTTCATCTAGTGGTTTGTTATTCTGAACATTTAGAGTTTATATTATATATATATATATATATATATATTTCATTTTATTTGTGTTAAATGTTTAAATCTCAGTAATAATTAACACAGGAAATGAACGACATCTAATATATTTATAAATGTATAAATATATAAACAGGACTGAAATAACAGGAAACTGGCTGAAATGGAAACAAAGTTCTGCTGCTAAAATCAGTGTCAGATTTTCTCTTATTTGTTTGCTCCTTGATAAATTTAAATATGCCCCAACAAAAGGAGAAGAAAAAAGTCCTTTAAAATGTTTAGATGCAAATTACTCTTCTTAATTATGCAGCTACATCCTACACATAATAATAATATTTATTAATATTAATATTAATAATATTTATTAATATTATTATTATTGTTCTCATACAGAAACCAGAGGTGTGATCTGCTGTTTCTGTGCTCTGAGACACTGAGAAAGATGAAAATGAAATTGACGCCTAATAACAATGAGCGATGACTAAACTGTTTGGAAACTGGTCTGAGAATAAAAAGAAGAACAAGAACAGAATCACCCAGTGGTGCAGACAAACATAAAGGCACTGTCGAGTTATTAAATTCAAACATATTTATGAGGTTTCATTCTGTCAGAACATCAGATAAATGTTTGATATAACGACAGGTCACAGTGCGTGCCCCCCCCCCTCCAGCTCCAGCTCCGCTCTCACAGTTAAGGACAAACCTGGGACACAGCAGAGCGGCAGGTAAACGTTGACTTTATTACAACCGGTTCTGTGAGGAAACTGGGATTCAGTTCATATTTGGCAGAGGTTTTTGGCTGAGTCTCAGAACTGTACCGCGCTGGGGGGGATGTCAAACATGGAGGGGTCGAACTGCTGCCCTTTGAACGGTGAGCCCTCGGCGTCCCAGCCCTTCTTCAGCATGTCGTGCACTTTCTGTGGAGAGACACGGAGACAGAGGTTAAACATGCACCGCTCACGCTGATAAGGACCACAGTGCCATCTAGGGGTGAGTCAGAAGCACCTGGGCCCAGTGTTTCTGCCCCTGTCGACTCTTCTGTCTGTCTGTCTGTCTGTCTGTCTGTCTGTCTGTCTGTCTGTCTGTCTGTCTGTCTCTGCTCCTCAGTGTCTTTGTATGTTTGAGTTCATGCAGCCCACATCTCCTCACACATCACACCGCTGAATGTACTGATGTCTACACCTCATGGTTTTCCTCAGTTTCTTTGTGTTAGTTGCATCAATTATTGTAAATAAATTTATTATTATTTCCCTCAGAAAATAAAAAAAGGCAGATTGTTTTCAGGTTGTCCGTCCTGTTCTCGTGGACACGATATCTCTGTAACGCCTTGAGGGAACTTTTGGCACAAACATTCACCAGGACGCAAGGATGAACTGATTACATCTCGGTGGCCAAAGGTCAAAGGTCACGATGACCACACAAAATATGGTTTTGGCCTTGTAAATGCAATATCTGGAGAACACAAAAAGTGTTTTGGCGGAGGCATTGAACCGTGAGGAGGTAAGTCTAGTTTTTTTTGGGTACTCTGTTCTTTTTTTTTTTTTTTTGGGCTTTTTGTGCCTTTAATGGACAGGACAGTAGAGAGACAGGAAATGGGGAGGCAGAGAGAGGGAGAATGACACGCAGGAAAGGGCCGTCCGAAGCGGGAGTCAAACCGGGGGCCAGCTGCAGCGAGGACTGTCGCCTCTATATATGGGGCGCTTGCGTAACCCACTGCGCTACGTGACGCCCCGGGTACTCGGTTCTTGACATTTTGGACCTGGTTCTAATTTGGAACCGTGTTTCGATCTCCAACCCAAACTATAAACACGTTTTCTTCCTGACGTTTTTGAACAGCATGTCATGAAATCATCACTTCTTTACATTTACATAGAGTTGTGTCCTCACCATTTCATGACTCTGCGGTTTGCCCTGCAGCTTTTGATGGTAGTCGAACGTGAGTCTGTCCAGGACGGCGTGCTCCTCGTCGTCCACGGACGCCATGGAGCGCTCGCGGTTAATTTGGTTTATGTCGATCTCTTTCTCTCCTTTCAGCACCGCGTTCCACCAAACCTCGGAGGTCTTGTTGAGTGACAGCTGGAAGTCAAACACGGTTTAGAAAGTGAAACTGAAAAGTTGTTTGTTGTTGGAGGGAAATTACGATGTGAGCGACATGTTTACTCACAACCACGCAGCTCCCAGGTTCCAGGCTCCACAGAGAGTTTTCAGTGTTGATCTTGTGTGTGAATTCTCCCTCCATCAGTGTTTTCTCTTCGGCGCCGTCCCTCACACACACTCGCATGCCGCTGGTCTGCAGACTGACACTGACCTGAGCGCCGCCAACGCAACAACAACAAAAAAGAAGGAGACACAGTTTCAACGAGTGAACTGAGAACAGGAGTCCTGGTGTGTCAGGTGGTTGAATGACTGTGTTTACCTGTCTGCCCTTTACAACTGTCTTGGGCACAGACACACGAACCTCCACATCAGTGTAGTCCTGAGACCAGCTGTAGTTTTCCCTCACTGCCCCGTTGTAACTGTCGGGATCAGCCTGAAACGTCACCTGTCGCCTGAAGCACAACGTGTACACAGAGACAAACAGCGTCTGAAGTGACACATGGATCTGCGGCTCAAAGTGTCTCAAATCTATTGAGACAGACACACACATCCAAAAAAAAAAACTTCCACAGGTGTCGGAACAAAAATCAAACTAAAGGCAAGAATCAGAATAAAGATCGTCACACCAGCGACTTTAACTGAGCAGCAGCAGGATCAGATCAGACCTCTCTACGTGAGCAGGGTGCAGTGATGATAGAACAGGATGTTACTCACTCTGCTGCTGAGTTTGTGCTGGCTGCAGCTGCCTGCTCTCCCTCAGCTGACTGTCCTGGACCCCCGCTGCTGCCGCCGCTGCCGTCAGGCTGGGGGCTGACGGTCGCCTCTGAGGCTGCAGGAGCTGAAACATCTCCAGCGTCCAGGGGGGAGCTCTCCACCTGTGCTGCCTCTGTGCTCGGCTCCTGCGGCTGCTCGCGAGGCTCCGTGGCGACTTCCAGCTCCTGAACTGCCGGAGGAACACATCTACTCTCCTCTCTCTTTTGTCTCTCGCTCAGCTGTCTCTCTCTGTCGTGCTCTGCCACCTTCTCAAACAGCTTAAATGTCTGAGGGGGGGAACGTGAGATTATCCATTTAACTAATTAGGAAGAGTTGAAATACACAAGGATTAATAACAGAGGCCAGTCCACAGGTGGAGAAAGTGCAGGAGCATTTATCAGCCTCTACACAAGATAAACTGACTGACTTACAAGTCTGATGTCTTCTGGAATAAAGCCAAACTACCTACAGTTTATTTTACATACAGGTGATCTACAATCCAGCTTCAAGCCTTCATTTAGGACATTGTGTCAGGACTCTGAGGACAGTATTACGTTGTACCGACCAGGGAACATTGTGTTTTGCCATTACTGTCAGAGCTGAGGTTAAAACCACCTCACAATCTGTTATAAAAGAAGAATAAAATGTTGTTTATATTCTCTGATCAAAAAGCCATTACAAAATACTAGCTTCAGAAAAACTGTCCTACTCCTGGACTCTTTATCAATATTGTCAAACATCTGCATGCCCCTCCAAAAACAACTGAGAGAAAAACAAAAACGGTGTTTATTTAACCAATGAGACAGATCCTTATTGATCATCCCTCATATCTGTTTGCTCCCCTTTTTCCCTTACTGCTATATGTCCGTCCCCTGCCTGTTGTTTTCATAACATGAAAAATGTTCATAAATAAAAAGTTTTTTAAAATTGTCTCTGATCACTGTCACGTCTGTATTTTCAGTTTTTGTTCTTGTGTATTTGGCTTTTTAATTTGTATTTTGGGATTGAGATTGTTAATATAAAATATAATCAACAAATTAATTATGATTATTATTAGTATTATTATTATAGGTCTAGAGACCCAGCAGGATATAAAGTAGTTACAACTGGATCCAGCTGCAACACAAAAGTAATTCTACACATAAATGTATAGTAACTACTTATAGTGATCCAACTATTTTGGTGCCAATATTGTGAATGCATGAATTTTACTTGCAGGAACACACCGTGGTGATTCTATTACTACATAGCTCAGATATCTATGGCAGCACAGATCCACACACTGTAATTTTATAGGGCTCCATAACTTCAGCCTCTCTTCGCCAGGGCTGCAATGACACTGACAATATTCGTCTAACGTGTTGACAAACTTCACCTTTAGCACCATCTTCTCCGCCACACCGGGAGGGAAGCCCATCTTGTCGTTGGGACCTGACAGGTGACGATAAAAGTCCGTTTTCCGGTACAAGAACCCGAAATAGACCTGAAGAAAGTCCTGGATGTTTCCAACATGCTGCAGGATTCCCAGCAGAGCGTTGTCGTACATCTCTGTCATCTCCAGCGGCGACGCCATTGTGGCTTTTACCGTTTGAACCGACCGTTAAAGTCTTTCAACCGACAATTTACTCACGAAATTAAAAAAAAACGTGTGTCAAGAAATATAAGTTAGAAACAAGTAGGGCTCGCTGGGTAAGGTTTCTTAACGTCTGTGTTCCTCCTTCCAGAACAATAATTATACATCCGGTCCTGTATTTTCAAAATAAGTGTACAACAATTAAAAATACGTAACTTTGATAAAATCGATGGCACACAAAAATTGAAAAACTATTTATAACGATAAAATAACGTATCACGTATGTTTTATAAGCGCAAATGATTATACTAACCCAATTATTGAACGCTTGTCTTTCAATAAACTATTTTATTTTTCCCCATCCGGTTGGTACATGCCATCAGTCGTCCGGTGGAAACAGATATCTAATTACCGAACAAACAGTCCCAGTTTGTAGACGCAATTTCCATGAAAAAATAAACATTCTGTCATTTTTGCGGGTGGTAAATCATCGCAATGCTCAAAAAGAGTTAATTATATTTAAAAACTACGGCGGCACTGGAAAATAAACAAATTAGAGATTAGCGTTAGCTCTTGTAGCATAGTGCGCTAACAAACATTCAGAAAACATGGCGGTGTCCTTGAGCAACGCTGGTGTGGTGAGGCTACTGGTAAGGAAAATTATATTAAAGTTTAATGTTTAAAACAATTCTGGCAAATCATATTGACACATGACATATAGTATGGTTAATTAAACGGCATAATTTCAGTTTAATGTTCCGTTTATCTAGCAGCTTCAGTTTCAAGCGTAGCTGTTAACTGAAAATGTTTTTGAGCTGCTCCTTGTCAACAGCACTGTGTGAACTCAATCACAAATGTTCTTTATGTGTTTAACTGCGCAGTATGTGCATGAAACATTATGTGCAAATTATAATGTTTGTGTTGATACAGCCAGAGCGTTATAACCAATTAATACAAAAGAGAGAGTGAATAAATAAAACAGGAAAAGACACAAATACATTGAAACAATCCATACCATATTTAACATAATAATGTGTTTTCAAAGCCATCTTAATTTTAAGGTCTACTTTTATGATGCCTATAATTTTAAACCTTTTCTGACTCTTAATTAAGCCTTTAAAAACCTTCTGTTCTCAGCGCTCATTGTAGTAATCTGGTGCTTTCTCCTCTCATGATGTTTCCTCTGGTTTCCCCCACAGAGTGTCTTACCCAGGGCCGGGTCATTATGCAGCTCCTCTGGAAGCAGAGGCCTCCACGTGACTGCAGTGTGCTGCAAGGTAAACACTGTTTCTCTACACATCATCACAGTTCTTAACCAGGCTTTTATAATATATGTGTCTTTACCATCTTAAAACTGCAGTGAGAGGTTTTGCAGACACAGGATTTCTGTGGGGACAAATCCTCCCATTCACAACGTACGTACCCAAAACTGAGCAGGGAAATTCAGTTTATTAGGGATTTCTATTAGGGTGGAGATAAACACGAGTGAGGAATAGTCTCAGCGCCTGTTCTCTCGTCTTGTCATCAGTTTGTTTCGAGATCTTGTTAAAGTCTGAAGACATTGCGACTGTTTTTCCTGACGTTCAGTTTCTTTCTCTCTCTGCCTTCAGAATCGAGCAGCTCGTATCCGAGTGGGGAAAGGAGACCGACCTTTGACCTATGAGCAAGCACTTCACCCTCATCACATTGGCCACCGCAAAGGATGGCTTTCACAGCATACCAGTGAGTAGTAGCTTTAACACACTCCCTACGTTTATTAAAAAATGTTTGTTCATACATGCCGTGTATCATCGATCATCACATAAATATCCTGTCTGGATACCCTACTTACCACCAGGTAACCTGAAAGGAGAGGAGGGGGCGGCTGAGCGGACCGTAGAGGACGTGTTCATCAGGAGATTCATGTTCGGGACCTTCCACAATTGCTTGGCCAATGAGATTGTGATCAAAAGGCGCGGCAACATGCTCATCGTGTGCGCTCTGATGATACAGAAACTCCCTCCTGTTAAGTTTTACTTCTTAATAGGTTACACAGAGTCGATACTGTCGCACCTCTACAAATGTCCCGTCAAGTTAGAGATCCAGACGCTGTACGAGAAAGTTGTGTACAAGTACCTCTGATGGAGCTGTGGTAATACTGTACTGCGTGTTTCCTGTGTGTAGACACAGTTCACCTGCAGCTGGAGTTCATAATAGAAAATTATGACTTTGTTCCCATCTCCATTCCTGCTCACTGAGTGATGCCACTTTCTTTTCATTTTACCCAGAATTAACTTTTTTTGTGAAACAAACTCTCAGAATTAAAGAAAATCAAATCATTCATGAAATTGTTTAATAAACTATGTGAATATATCAGGTCCAGTTCACTTTGTTTAAATCTGCTCTGTTGTCTGTACATATGAAGATGTCATCATCAAGGTTTGTACAACAGGGGGAATCTGAGCAGAGGACTGTTTCATACAGGAAGATTATCATTGTTATTCTTAATATTATAAATATTGACCAATTAAAGGGGCACTCACACAGACATAATGTCTTCTGTGGCTCTGAAGGAAAGAATAACCCTGGTTATTATCTGGCTTATCTCATCCTGAGCTGGACACGTCTCAGTTTTAATCCGTAACTAAGGAAACCTTTTAAGCAATTTTGTGCAACACCCTTAAATAACTCCCTCAGCAAAGGAGAAATTAAACCTTAAGTGTCGTACTTAAGTAAAAAAATTAAGTTGTTTTGTGCAGCCGGCTCCTGAAATTTAAGATTGAGGAGAAAACCTTAAACACTAGAGTGAACATTTGAAGGAAACCTTAAGGAGAAGACTTCAGGATGTTTTGTACTGGAATACTAGAAATATCCAAATGAGCAGTTCCATTGAAATGCTTCTTCTGATTTATCTTTAATCAGTTTCATCACAGTGCAAATAAATTCACATTTAAGGCACGTGCACCTCATCAGTGCAGATAACAAGGCACACAGATTAAACTTCCATTTCCAACGTTACCATGAAAGATTTCCCTTGATGAATCCTCCCAAAAACACACACTCCACTTCTTCCCCCCTTTCATAATGTTATCATTAATACTCAGTGCAAAACATTGTCACAAACACACGTCAGGATTAAAAGTTTAAAACGCTGAGTCCACTTTCTAATTGGACAAAAAAATACAACAAGTCCAATTACTTCTTGTCGGCTCAACTTGTTTCACTGAAAGTGCTAAATGACGAGCAGGATTTCATGTTTAAAACATAGAGCTGCAGGTTCGAAGGGAAGAGTTCCACATTTTAAGAAATCTGCCACAAAGTCAGAGAAGATTGACACAACGTGTAGACAGAGCCAGTTAGCTTAGCTTAGCATAAAGAATAGGAACACTGGCTCTAAAGCTTACTAACTAATTAACTAAACCTTTGTTTAATTTCTTAAAAATCTCACATGAAAATGAGAAGTTGCAGTTTTAGAGGGAGGTTTGTATCAGGCTCTTTCTTGCCAGGTCACCAGTGGAGACTCCTGGCCCTCACATATTGTGGCCTGTGTCATTTTCACTCTTCAGTTTTTGTACAAATTAAAAAAAAGAAAAAGACATAAGATGTAAATGACTGAGTTAATCGGTGGATTGTGTTAACTCTGTGCTGTGCTCAACTCCCCAGCTGTTGGAGGCATCTGTAAATGAAACAGGAAGACATGAGAGTGGTGTGAAAGACAAATAAGCAGATTTCCTAAAATGTTGGGACTATTCCTTTAAAGAGATGAGCGGATCACAGAGCGCTGCAGTGTACCAGTGAATCTCTGGCTGTGTAAGACTTTAAATCTTCACATTTGACAAACACTGGCGACGTTTTGTGCCTCTGCGGTTGATTAAATGTTCAGGAACATTTTAAAGAACAGTGAGTTTAGTGCAGCATCTCCACAGAAACACATCAGCCAGCATGGATTCACTGACAGCCGTCAATCAGACGTTTCCTGTGTCTTAAAAGGAAATATAACAGCTTGTGAAAGTGTGTTGTGATACATGAGCACAGCTCAGGAAAAAAAAAATAGGCCTTTTTCACTGCAGACATTTTGACTTGTCAGAAAACGAAAGCACAAGTGTTTAAACATTCAAGGAAAATCATTTGGGAAATTCACTTAATCACTCTCTGGCTGATAGACGGGAAAATAATCATGAAACAGTCCGACACATAAACCCTCATAAAGCTGCGATGTGTCCATTTAACACTTAAATTTCTGTACAAATTAAACTAACGAGGAGTCGCAGGTTAATTACTGAGCTTCAGCAAGAAAGCGGATAAGCATATTTCCCAGAATATCAGACTCTTCCTGTTCTGTTGAAGTGTTCCAGTGAGTCCTGACAGTGTGACAGTGAGCCAGCATGCACAACACCATGACCCTGAAACTGAAGCAGCTACACCGACTTTTATTCTTGTACTTTCCCTCCAACAGACGGGTCAAAATGTCTTCTGTGAAAAAGGCCTTGTGGTAAAAGTCGCCTCTAAACCAAACAAACCAGCGCCGCCTTCCTCTGTGAGGTTACTGAAGTGAGTGTTTGGCAGCTTCAGGAGCACGTGAAAACCTCTGTGGCGCCGCGGTGCGTTTCCTCTTCCTCATTTGATGTCACGGCAGCTGTCGCCCACACAGGACTGCAGCTTGATGAGCCGCTGGTTCATCGCCTGCAGGACGGCGGGATCCACCTTCTTCACGATGTTCTCCAGCTGGTGGGGGTCCGACGTCAGGTTGTACACCTCCACGAACGACTGGGGACAGAAACACGGAGCTTCACAGCCGTTTTCACAAAATAACTCATGTGCACGTGTGCGTCTCTAAAATATTTCTACCTCGCTGTCTGCGAACTCGCAGTACTGCAGGTTGTGTTCGCTGTCCAGGGTCCTGACGCAGGCGTAGGTGTTGTTGTAGGCGTCCTCACACACACAGTCTGGGAAACATTGCTGAAGAAAATGAAAGTTTTAAGTTAGAGCTTAGTTTTGTCACCAGACTGAAATATGTCACTGCACTCACAGACAGTCCAGGGCCTAATTTGGGACAGGCGGGGTCTGTCGTCGGGTGTCCCTCTCCGGTGTATTCAACCAGGAAGAAGGGACGAGCGCTGCTGTTACGCAGCGAAGGAGCCTGAACGGAGAAACCTCAGTTAATGTTCAGAAAATGAAGTGAGCGTGTGGGGAAAAGGTTTGAAGAAGAAACAAGCTGACCATCTGACCGAGGAAAGACTGGCCATCCACATTCACAGAGGACAGGTTGAGACCGGATATGTCCAGCATGGTCGGAGCCAGGTCAATGTTCAATACGGGAGCCTAAAGGTGTCAAAATAAATAAAATCTAAATACATTTAAAAAAAAACAAACACAAGCCAAACCAACATTTACATGTAAAGAGGAAAGAAAAGAAACGTGACCTTCAGCGTCTGGTTTGGTTTGATGCCAGGACCTCGGACCATGAGCGGGATCCTGATATCGAACTCATACAGCTGCCTCTTGTCGATGGGCAGAGAGAACTGACCTGGAGCACAGTGAGGACATGTGATTAGAGAGGAGGTCACTGTATTACATCATCTGTCGACCAGAGGAGGCGTGGCTTTAACTGCAGCGCGCTCATACCTGTGTGGTAACCGTTGTCTGACGTGTAGAAGATGTAGGTGTTGTCCAGCTCCTTCAAACTGTCCAGTTTCTTCACCAGCGTCTCCACCATGTCGTCCACTGATAACAGGGTCTGCCACCTGCAGGAGACAAGATCATCATCATGTTTATTTTTTCACTTGTGTTTAGTTTCCATTTGAATCTAATTAATGCAAATTCATTTCAAATGTGAAGTCTGAAGTGTTTTCCTTTATAACAGGTGTCTGACTCTAATAAAGAGTCTATACAGTCTAAATGCTGATTATAAATGGCACATTAAAATAGTAGCTGCTAGTGTACTTAATCTGACACTTTATTTTCCACAAGCTACATCCTGAAACGATCATCTAGAGAGAAGATGTCTCACTCTGTTGCAGCTGTCAGAACCACAAAACACTCTACTACTCGCAGTTGTGCAGTGTTGTTGCAGAATGGAACAGATGATCTTTGACTGAGAATTAACATGAATTAGTGACACCTGATGGTGAGCTGCCGACGACCCTGACAGCCACAGTTAGCACTGGCTGAAAATGCCAAGCTAAATGCCAGCTAAGCTAAGCTAAACTAAGCTAAGCTAAGCTAAGCTAAGCTAAGCTAAGCTAAGCTAAGCTAAGCTAAGATAAGATAAGCTAAGCTAAGCTAAGATAAGATAAGATAAGATAAGATAAGATAAGATAAGATGAACCTTTCTTGATCCCCCGCAGAGGAAATTCAAATTCAGCAGCACAAAAGAAAAGCAGCACAAGGGGAAAATTTGATAAGAAATAATATAAGAAAAGAAACAGAATGTAAAATAAATAAGATAAAAGAGAAATAATATATACAATAACAATATACAATAAAAAGGCAGAGCTGCAGCACCAGCAGGCTGAGGAGAGAGGATCTGATCTGATTACTGATCCTTTAAAAACTGCCTCTCTGGTTCCAAGTGTCAGGCGTGTTTCACCTGCGACCACACCCAGCAGTGATGTCATGGGGTCCTGGAGAACACCTGTACATCACCACAGAGCCTCGCCACTAGCACGGCTAAAGAAAAGGGGGGCTGTTTATGAGACGTACCGTTTCCTGTAAGCGTTGTCCAGGAAGGTGAGCGAACTGTTTGGCATGGGGTTGATGGGTTGACGCAGCAGCCAGTGTTTGTCCTGAAACACACAGAGATTTGTTTAAAAAAAAAAAAAAAAAAACAATTTTTTAAAAGCAGGAATTAAACCTCATGATGTTTGACGTCGTCTTGGTTCATACCTTCCCTGGTTTGTCGAAGCTCCCGCCTCGAGGAGCTTTAACGTTGCTGAACTCCTTCTGGTACCGAGGTGCCGCCGTCCAGGGGGAGTGAGGAGCTGGAGGAGACAGCATCAGGAAGAAGGGATGCTGCGGACTCCTGTCGTCCAGGAAGTGGAGAGACCGGTTCACCTGCGACGCAAAATACATCAACTGTTGAAACAGAAACTCTGAGAAAACAACAGCATGTTTGTTTGACAGACCCAGGATCAGATTTGTGTGTAAAAGGAAAATAGCTGCAGGAACACGGAGGGTTGTGCACTCGCAGCATCTGTGAGTCATTATCACCACAGGATGTGTAATTACCACTGGGCTAAACACATGCTATTACTGCAGACGTGAGTCCCACACACTGTGAAATCTGTCTTTGGCTGCTAATCAGCTCAACTCAAATTATGACCATCACTAAGTCCATCCAACTAGATTTGTTCATTTTGTTTTGACTTTTTTAGCTGTTTTTTTCTTCTTATTCTTATTATTATTTTCTCTCTTTTTTCAATTTTGATTTCGTATAGAACTAAACATCCTAAAGCATTTAATGATATGATGTAAAGACACATCGCTGACTGAGTTTTTACTTTTATGGTTTGCATTAAAACTTTTTATATAATTTGCTGCTATGAAAACTTTGTACATTCATGGTCCCTGGAGGATGAATCCTAATAACCTGATCTTCTGACTTTGTGTCAGTTCACAGTTTGTCTTTCCCTGTGAAATCAATATCTGAAAGTTGTAATGGCACAAATCTTTGTACAGACATTCATGGTCTCCAGAGGATGAATCCTGGTCACTTTAATGACCACTTGACTTCTTAAGCACCACCTGACTATTGCTTGGATTACTATGAAATCTGGTGTGTACTGTACATTCATGTCCCCCTCGGGATGAATCGTAACATTTCCAATACTTCAGTCTATGACCAAATATTTGAAATACTAATGTCATTCCCATCAGCCCCAGCTCCGTTCTGTGTTGAGTAATAATTAGCAAACATCAGCACAGTAAACTCAGCATGGTCTCAACATTATACCTGCTAAATATCAGCATGCTAGCATGAGCTGGTTAGCATTTAGCTCAAAGCACCACAGTGTCCCCCTGCACTCAATCAGTGGAGTACCTCTTTAAGAAGTGTGTGTTTTTTTACGGTCTTTGTTGCTGATACAGCTAACAGCTAACAGCTGGCAGTGCAGGTGAAAAAGGGGAAGTTCAACTCTCATAAACTATATTTAAAGCAGAATACGTTGGCAGCTGGTTGAGTAGTCACACTCATGTGTCACCTGATGAGGATGACGACGTGCAGCAGTTGCATGGAACCATGAAACAGAAGAGTTCACACAACCCAACACAAAGAAGCTAAAAGTCTTCACTTAAACACTCGAAAATATAAAACTATAGAAACTAAACAACATGCACCAACTTCTTTTCTTCCATTTCTCATTCACTGTCTGATTGTTGATGATTAACTTTCCACTGTGCTGACTGGCCGACGACAGAAGACTTACTGACCGTTTTATATTTATATGACAGCAGCTGATTCAGACATGTTGGAGGTGAACAGCCCTTTTCTTCCCATAAATTCTTACATAAATGTCCCTGCAGATGTGAAATACTGCTGATCACAGGCTCAGTACGAGCAGAAGTCCCTGCACTCGACGAGAGTGTGATTACTACTCACTATGAGGTCTGTCAGGTAGTCCTTTTCATAACTGTCTCCGTGCTTTTCTTCATTGCCGTTGACTGACAGTGTGTAGTTATAGTACTGCGAGTTCCCCACCTGCAAATCAAACAGCACAGGTTGTGACACCTGGAGAAATAACGTGTGCATGTGCAGCAGCTGTGTTTACATGCGTGTTTGTGAGACTCACCAATGCATGCCACTGGTCCCAGCCAGGAGGAATATGGCTGACATCTCCTGCCTCTTTCTTCCCATACTGATGGAAGAAGGGACAGTTAGATCATGTTTAACATCTTAGTTTAGCACGTTAGCATGTACAAATTTGGTGTGTAGTGAAGCAGGAATTAAATTTGATTATATGTGATATTAAAAAGGTCTTTAAAAGTCTCAAATTGAACTTGGTGAACACTGAAGGACGAAAAAATTAGGAGAGCTAAACCAGAAATAAAAAACATTAAAAGCTATATAGCAGATATACAGTAACTACAAAAGGATATAACATTAGTCTAAGAAGAAAACATTCTGCTGCTGTACGTACTGCTAAATGCTAATGTGAGTGTGCTAACATGCTGACGCTAAGCATTATGTATGTTTACCATGTTCACAGTCATAGTTTAGTGTGTTAGCATGCTAATGATGGCGCTAGATGAAAAGTCAGAGGACATATTTCCTTTTATTTTTCTAAGAGCTAGACAGACGTGTAGGATTATTTGTCCTGGGTGGAGGTACACAGTCTAATGAGTGCTGCTCTAGTTGGAAAATTAACATCAAATTATAAGGTTTTCATGAGCAAATTTCTTTTAGGAGATTATTTGTAAATACTTTGGATTTTATGGACCCTTAAAATAAAGCAGTTCTGTCCAGAGAGGTCGATTTCTCCACCCACAGAGCCATGACACTAGTCTGGCTCCAAATCATTTTGATAAAAAGCTTCAAGTGTGAAGCTCATAGCTGCAGGAAGTAAGACAGCTGAGGGTGCTAAAACACCCCCGCCCTCAGTGGTCTGAGGAAAGGTCTATTTGTGCTGTTGCAAGATTTTTTTTTTTTTTTAAACTCCGCCCACTGCCTCTGACCTATAACATCTTTTTATTTAATTATCATTACCAGCACAGTATCAATGTCAGGCAGGTCCAGAATGAAAAATCTCAAAGCTCGGATGAAATTTTGTGCATTTTTTCTGCATATCGTTGGACATTCATGTTCCCCAGAGGGTGAACTACTCCAACTGACTTTGGCAATCCCGTCGTTTCCTCTAGCGCCACCATCAGCTCAACACTTTCGACAAAGACTGGATGATTTACACAGATTACAACGTAATATAATAATATTCATAGGTTAAAATATTTCACCAGCAGTTTTAATAATGATGACAATAAAACTTTTGTTATTCAGAAACAAAACAGGATGTGATGAAAGTTTGAATCAGAGAAAAAACTGCTGTAAATTCATCTTCGATTTGAGTTTCTACTTGAATCAGCAGCTTCATGTCAAACCAGAACTTTTCCTAGAAACAGATGGAGTGAAGTGACGCGTGTTCAGACCTGGTTCAGGTATTTCCCAGCGAAGAACGTCTGGTACTTCTGTTTGTTGAGGTAGACGGAGAAGGCCTCGGACTCGGGACCTTTCTGCCACAGGGGGCTGGAGCAGTTCCCGGACAGGGAGTTGTTCCTCACCTCGTGGTTGTGGGGGTACCGACCCGTCAGTATGCTGCTCCTGCTCGGGCAGCACAGTGGCGTGACTGTAAACTTCAGGAGGAGGAAGCGAGAGCGGCGATAAGAGGAAGACGACAACAGGAGAACAGAGGAGGGAGAAAGAAATGATGAAAGAAACATGACAGCAAAGGAGGATGTGTAACTCATCCAGTTTCAACATTTTAACACATGTAATCAGGTGAGTGCAGTGCTCAGATCCTCGAGCAAAAGCAGCAGCACAACAACATAAAAATACTCTTTTACTTTTAACACTTAAAGTATCCAAAGTAAAGTGATACTTGAAAAATCAAAGGTGTAAATACTCATTAGTCGTTGATGCTTCAGCAGCATTTTACTGTTGCTTCATGTTGAGCTGCTTTTATCGACTTTTTTTTTTGTACAAAGAAATAAACATAAATAAATAAATATAAGGCAAAAAAAAAAGTGAGCCATGATAGAAAATAAATAAAAGTACTGATAGTGAATCAGAATTATGAGACAGTGAGCCAGAATTTTTACTCATTGTCTCATAATTTTGACTTTTCAGTCAGTATCTTTGATCTCGTACATTTTGGTTTGGATATTTCTACATGTTGACGTACTATCTCTCTTTTTACTGAAGTATTTCACAATTCTGACTTAGTATTTGGAAAATTTGACTTATTTGGGCCTTAAATATTCACCTAAATGAAACCATGTGAGAAGAACTGTGTGTGTGGTGGAGCTGCTAAGAGCTCTCAGTGCCCTGTTCAACATGCGCCGGATTGTTTGGCTTGTGTTGCATGTAAAAATTAGATCCATGTGTAAATGTGAACGCTCTGGGTTTAGAAATGTGTCTCAAACTAGACACTGAAGAGTCACGAGCCAAAAAGGCTGACAAACAACAAGTAATCACAGCTGGCAGACAGAAGTAGTGGAGTAAAAGTACTTCACAATACTTCCGTCTGAAATAAGATAAGATAAGATAACGCTTTATTAGTCCCACAGTGGGGAAATGTAGTGGAGAAGCATAAAGCAGCAGAAAATGTGCCTCAAAGTTGTTCTTACAGTTGGTGCATGTACTCACAGCGTTCACAAACGTTGCTCCTGCTTCTCCTATTAAAGCTTTCGTTTTCTTCATCGGGGTCTGACGAACAGAAACAAGAAGAGACACGTGGAGACCAACATTCAAACCAAGAAAACACAAGCACAAAACAAATTCCCTATCACAGTTTTCAAATGAGTCGCTCTCGGATCGACTGATTAATAGAAGTTGAGGGTCTATACTTCCCCACTGACTCCTGACATCAGACTTTTCTTACACTCAGTTAACCTCAATAAATAAAGTGTATTGTTCCCGTGTCGACCTCCCTCAAACGAGCCAGTCACAGCAGCCGCAACGAACAACTATTTTCATTGTCAATTAATCTGCCAGTGTGTGGTCTAGATCTGATTAGTCAAAAAATGAATCTGGTGCTCCTTTGATTCATTGTTTCAGTGGGTTTTTTTCAAGCAAAAATGCAAAAATATTTCTGGTTCCAGCTGCTCAGAGCTGAAGATTTACAGAAAACTGATCGTTTTTTTCACAGCTGGTCGGACAAAATAAACTATTTGAAAACATCATCTTGGAGTCTGAAAAACTGCAATGGTCATTTTCCACTATTTAATACAAAATTGATTAATTAATAGAGAAATTAATCATCAGGGAAATACTGAAAGGGGTCAGTTACAGTTTCCAATGACTCTGCTCAGCTGACAGCAGTGGTGGGAAGTAACTGAGTACATTTACTTAAGTACAGATTTCAGGTACTTGTACTTTACGTGAGTATCTCTATTTTGCACTATTTTATACTTTTGATTCTTACAACTCAATGACAATATTGAAATAATGCTTATACGTAAGTAATACTATTCAAACAATATGACAAATATGACACAGTGAATGGGCCCATTTTGTATGATGCAGTATGTTTTACTGCAAATACTTATTTTCTTTTATTTAATATGGGTCTTTACTTTTAATGTAGTATTTTTATCGTGTACTATTGCTACTTTTACTTGTGTAAAACATCTTAATACTTCTCCCACCACTGGCTGAGAACACAAACATTATAAGAGAACATTTTTTATCCTTTTTGATGCTTATTTTTTATTTAATTTGATGTATTTTACTTCTACTTACTTCATTCAGTCATTTTCCACATTATATTATTTTGAATTATGTAAAGACATAAAGCAATATTAGTTAACTCTCCTTCCACTGTCCAACTTAAAGCTTCTGTTTCTATATTTTATGGATGATAAGGTGACTGTACATTTAATTCTATGTGACCGTAAACTCACCATAAACACACTCATGAGTGTGTGCTACAGGTAGGAGCTTGGAAAGTGAACTAGTGTCTTTGGGATCAGTTCATGTGATTTATACTAAAGAGTGGACTCACCATCCCCCCCAGCTGAACGTCCTGGTCGTCGGCGAGGATCAGTATGATGTTGCTGGGTTTCACGCTGTCCGCACACCTGACGCAGCAGGTGAGCAGCGGCCACAGCAGCGTCAGGAGAGTGAGGGCTGCGTGCTGTCCTCTCTGCCGGCGTGTCGTCGCTCCGGCTCCGCTCCTCAGACCCGCCATCAGGACCCCGCAGCTCCGGACCTGCTGCTCCAAACACTGACGACTGTCCGTGTTTCAACCGAGGCTCTGTTTCGTTTCCTGGTCGGGGAGGGGGGGGGGAGGGTGCGTGAGAGCGCGTGTGTGTTCAGGCTGGACAAACACACTGCAAGCTTTAGAGTTTGAGGAAGTGGAGTCAAGTGTCGGTCATATGATCAGACTGAGTGGGAGGAGTGAGGACCGAGAACACGTTGTTCAGCTTGGACTTTATACAACTTCACTGAAAATACATGACGTTAAATATAAAGGAAATGGATATTAAGTTACTATGGTTACTATAATCCCATTTAATAATATGCATAGTTGATTTATCTAATAATATAATATAATATAATATAATATAATATAATATAATATAATATAATATAATATAATATAATATAATATGTCTACATTAATATATAATTATATGTAAAACCAATACAAATAGTATGAGTTAATAGTAATACATCATGAATTGATAATTATTAATATTATATATATTATTACTGCAAGATTGTTTAGTTATAGTATTTAATATTAATATTTAATATTGTAATATTATATTACATTATATCATATTGAATCTGATATAAAAAGAAAGAAAAAATAATAGAAATGATTAAATCTATTAAATATAAAAATCTAAACTACATATATGGAGTATAAAGTTGTTATTAAAAACGTAATTCGTTTTTTACAAAAGCACATGAGGATGAGGAATCCTTAAATTCACTTATTGAAGTGAATTTAATTGAATTGTGATTGAGATACTGTATGTTGTTGAATTGGATATTTTACAGTTGATTTATAAACTTGTTAGTGCTCTCTGGTGGGCAAACGGTGCAGTGAAAACACAGTCTCTAAATTACCTCAATCATATATGAACATAAATCTTTGGTGTGTTTTTTCACCAATTTCCCTCAAGCAGCGTCAGAGTTATAGTTATAGTAATTTAAGGTTTAATGTTGGACATTAGCAGTTTTGACAGCAGAGTACTAATATAACTAATGTTCTTCTTCTAAATATAAACATAAGCTACTTCTTGAGTAAATTTTATACAATATTCTTGAAAATGTTTACACAATACATAAGGACACAGCAGATTTAATGGCAAAACACAAAGAAGAAGAATTTAAAATAGTTTTGTGGGTTTAAAAAAACAAACAACGAGTTTGTAATGATCAACTTACCAACGAAGAAGAGGCAGTGACGCATCATTAATGTGTCCGTTTTCTCAAACCTTTTTCACATCAAGGACCTAAACTGACACAAATTAGACCCCCCCCCCTTTTCCCCCCCCCCCCCCCCCCCCCCGATAAGATTTTGTCTTTTAGATGTTTTATTACAGAAAGTGTTTGAAACCCACGACCAAAATATTCACACATTCTGTCATCGTGTTACTTATGGATGGAATAAAAATGAAAATAAATGATTCATCTTTTTGCTGGGGACCCTCAGGAACCCCTCCAAGGACCCTTGGGGGTCCCTGCACCCCACTTTGAGAACCACTGCTCTGGAGAACACTTTGTGCCAGAGAAGGTTAACAGTTTCTTCACTGTGTGGACCACGTGGCTCTTCTTCAAGTACTTATCTCTCACAGCACCGTCCTATTTGAAGGAGAGATTTCTTGATATCTAATCAACCCAATCTTTGAGCACTTCCCTTGTACTGGTGGGCCTGAGAGCTGTAAAAATAAACAAGACTAGAGCTGTGTCCCAAATCACTATATCCATCTATATCTATCTATAAAAAGTGCACTAAATTTACCGTTTCTCGTTTTATTTGAGTGTTTGATTTCTGATTGTAGAAATTTATCCACAGATTTTTCAATAATTTATCAATAATACCCTAAAAAATACTACAATGGCTTAGAAAAACTGCACAAAACATCACATTTCACAGATGGAAAAATCACCCTGTGTGACTCAAGCTGTCTAAGTCTCAATTTACTGTCCACTACAGACAAGTGGGTGATTTCAGACACAGCTCAAGAGTCTACCTGTGCTGGTTTCGCATCTCTGTAGATATTATGTGTCTCTTTCTGAGATATTTCTGCAGGAAAAGCCCGGAGTCACCCTGACCCCTCTGTGCTAGACAAAAACTGTAAAATTAAAGTAAAATATCCTAATTCAAATAAAGTGTAAAAACAATAAATTTGCAGAAAGTTTCATTAATATTTCTACAGAGAAAAACTGTTATTTTACAGATTTTTCCTAAATTATTATGATCAAACACTGTCAATAAAGTGAATCCACTAAAGTTTCTGCAGAGAAACTTTTTCCTAATAATAAAATTAAGTGTCAATCAATTAAATATTAGCACATGCTTAATATTGTAGACGTTTTAGCGGTTACTAGGATTGTGTCTGTTGCTCTCGCCTGTTGTACAGCTGGTGACGTCAGTAACTTCAGGCTCATCTTGTAACTGACTGTAACTTGAGATTGTATGGACCCAGTAGACCGAGTGAATACACGTAGATCGGTTCACCATGTTGTAACCACTTTACATTACTGTTAGGAGATCAGTGTACACTGACATATTGTGCAGTGATGATGACTCAGGTTTGACACTATAATGAAGAAAAGGGAGAATTACATGATCCATACATTTCCAATTATGTCTCAACAAGCTCTGCAGCTCAAAGTTCTTCTGCAGCTGTTGAACAGTCACGTAGCAGTCAGTGAGCTCGGTCATGCCTCACTGCTGCTTGTCAAACTGTGAAATGAGGCGACAGGTGAAGGTGTTCTGCTGGGATGATAGTAGACTCAGAGATGATGGAGGTTATTGTAGATATCAGACATTTCCTCATCCTCATCATCTGCACCTGTGATGGGATTATAGTGGAAGATTTACCAGCCACATTCAGTGATAATAAGTAGCCTAAGTATATTTACTGAACTTTAGCATTTTGAGGCATTTTCTACTTCTACTCCACCATGAAATATTGTAGTTTTTCCTCAATTACATTCACTTGACAGCTGAAGTTACTTTACAGATTCCAAGATTACAGATTCGCTAAAAATTTCCCTTGGAAGTTTATATAAATCTATGCATTATTAAAGATTAAACCAGTGGGGACAAAAAGTGTCTTGTTGGGGCTCCTTGTTGTTAGCAGTTCTGCCAAACAGTGACTTCCCCTCAAAAACTCTGTCATTTACTTAACTTTCTTTCTGTGTATCCAAACTTTCCTCACGTAGTATTCATTTCTGGATCACTCAGATTTATCAGGTGACCCATAAAAATAAAAGTAGTGATGGTAAAAGTAAGATTTATGAGACAGCAATTCAGAATTATGAGATGATGAGACAAAATTTTGAGTTGCAGAGTAAAATTATAATAAAGAAAAATAATATTAGCCTCTAGTAAATTCAAAAGTTAGAAATAATTCAAATTTTTTACTTGCCACAAAAGAAGTCTTGAGATATTAAATAAGAATTATGACATGAGAGACATGAGACAAAATGATGAGGTATTACATAAAGATTATGACATACTATGCCAAAATTATGAGATAATAATAAGTCAAGGTCAAAAAATACAATCAAAAATTCCATCTTTTTACTTCAGTCTCTTAATTGTCATCCTGAAGACAACCATGGCCACACTCTGGCTTTTATTTGTTTGTATTTTATTTGTTGTCTGTGCAATAATTTTATCAAAATATTCTGTGCTTTTATTAATTTACTTAAATTTTTTATTTATCTCTGTTTATTTGATTCCTGTGTTTGATCATTTCTGTGTTTTTGTTTGATTGTAATTTGTTGTTTTTGAATGACATACATAATTATTTTTATTTTATTTATTCTTAAACATATTTATTCTATTCTATTCTATTCAATTCTATTTTATTTTATTTTATTATTTTGACACAGATGAGCTTCCATACCGGGCAGTCTGGACTCATAGTGACTGTTTCCAGTCGGAATTATTTTTGCTCACGTGCTCCCGGTGTCGGCGTCTACCACACAGCTGCATCCGGTTGCACTTTTGCACAGAAGTTTGCTGCTTTTTGTGTCACTAACCTACCTCAGAAAATAAAGACAGTCCCGGTGAACACCTGAACTGAAGTCGGTCGTAACATTTAATGGTTAATAATTATATTTTGATGTTAACGGACGTCATTAAAACAAGCTAGCAACACAGAAGTTAACAAGCTAGCAACAGAAGTTTAATGCATGAGAGGATTGAATGGGGCTAATGTCAAAATTAGCCAAAAAAACAAAACCCAAACATGGATGTAACGTGTTTGTAGCTTCATTTAACCGCAGAGTGAACCATGGTGCCATTAAAGAGAAGAAAAGTCTCCTCTAATGTCGGGAACAATGATCCTGAAGCACCAAACAAGTTCCCTCAGGTCGTTTTATTCCTGCTGGAGAGAAAGATGGGAGCGAGTCGACGAGCTTTCCTCTCTCAGCTCGGTCGGAGGAAAGGATTTCAAGTGGAGGAGGTGTTCAGGTAAGAGGAGTTCAACTTTCATCATGTGTCACAGCAGCACAAAAGTAAAGTTACAGGTAAATAACTCAGAAGAAACTTAAATGAAAATACTACAGAGGCAAGAAAACACAAAAAGGAGAATAAGCTAATATATGGTGATTAACAAAACAAACACCTTCTGTAAGGCCACACATTTATAATTCGTTATAACATCTAGATTCATAAAATGAGGCATTTAATAAAGGTACTAATACTATCTTGGAATAAGATCCTTAATTTGTGCTCCACTAGCTACAGAATTAACTATATAAGTATGTAATGCAGAATCTGAAATGTTTTACCTTTGTTTTGCTTTGTTTTATTTATTCAGTTTTTCTTTAATATCTTATTCAGGTTGTCGAGCCTGATTGATGTTGTAATGTTATGTGTTAGAGTTCATTATTTGGTTTGTTTAGTGTGACCTAGTGTGTTGGTTTATGTTTATGTTTTATCTTCTGTTATTTATCTCATGTTTTTGTTCAATTAAAAAAAAGAGGAGAAAAGAGTATTTTATTTTATGTCTTTCACAGATCACGTCTTATTCCCTCAGTGTCAGACACAGAAGTGAAATCTCTTTTTTCGTCTAAAACTCGAAGATGTTAAATTTACACTGATATACAACAGAGAAAA